GAAAGAACCGGTGGGAGGAGGGGTGGTAGAACAAACAGTTTGGGTGTCAACCAGAAAACAAAGGAAGATACAAGGAAGAGTGCGTGCCGAAAGCTTGTCCATGCGAGGATCATGGACATGCGCAATGCAGCCTTAGACGCAAAACGCAAACGCAGCACCGGGTGACCCCCTCCAAAGAAGGGTTGGTGAATCCTATATGTGCGAGACACGATGCCAATGGTTCAGCTCATGTGTGACGTAGCAGAACGCAAACAGCCGCGGGAAATGGGGTGCATGGGCATGATTCATGGAGATGCGGGCAATCTCCATGATCAAGCCTATGCGGCGCTCAGCTACCCTATTCTGGTGTGCAGAAGCATGAAATTTTTACTAATGCCCTGCTCGTAGCAGAATTGGCAAGTTGGCGAGAGGTGAACTCACCACATGGTCAGAGTGCAGACGAAGCATAAGGAGGTCGTGCTGGCCCTGAGTGGCCATTAACCACGGAATTGAAGCATCAGGCAACTCAGCCTTCCACTCCAAGGAGAACACTGTGGTGTAGCAAGAGATTTCGTCTACAATCGCTAGGAAGTAGCTATCTTATCGTGGCCCAACGACTCGGAGCCCCAGACATCCAAAATGCAAGTTTTTAAGGGGCGCAGTGGTGGGGACAAGCAAGGAGGAATGAGGGGCGGCGCACTGTCGATCCTCGACGTAAGGCGTGTTCGGAGGAGCAGACGAAGGAGGGAGCAAGGGGAGCGACTGCGGGAGACGTAAGCAAGATGGTGCTTAGCCATGTGATGGAGATGTGGGAGTGCAGGGTGACCGAGGCAGTGGTGCCACAGGAGGGATGGGTGCGTTAGTGACCCACAAGAGTGCAACGCAGCTATCTGACCAGACGTAGACACCGCGGGGGGCGCCGTGTGTAGTGTGAAGAGACCTGACGTAGGCTCCTGGGGAAATGTGGCAAGTGGTGTCCCGGTGGTAGTGTACGTGTAGGTCGCAAACCTCTCGTGTTCAGGAAATGAGGTATTGACACCTAGGTCCTAGAGACGGTTAACACTTACCAAGTTCTTGGAGAACGAGGGAATGTGGAGACCTGTGAGGAACCGGGGGGGCGTCCGAACACGGGAGCATGATAGTTTATATGATAATGTTAAAGTTTATTGTTTACTTGCAGATTTACACTGTGGGCGACGACAGGTCCAGACTTGGACTGGCACTGGAAGTGGCAAAACGGTGGTGTGGTCATGGAAGAAGCATGCGACAGAGTCAAGCGTGGAGGAAAGTGACGCGTTAGCAGTGGTCGCACCACACGCTCCTACACTAGATACTGGCATAGATCTTAGACTCAAGCTCCTACACTAGATACCGACAAAAATCCTAGTCTATGCACAAACAAGTAGAAAGATCATGCAACACAATAGTCAACAGAGTATACAGGAGAATGAACATCAAACATATCCATGGTAAACACTGGCAAACCACGACTCAGTAGGGAGAGCCAATGTGGGGGAGCCGCTTGTTGGCCAAAGCGGTCACGGTAGAAGTCGTCGAGGTAAATGCTGCTGCTACTGCTTCTACTGTACATGTTGTTGCTGCTGCTGCTGCTGCTGCACCTGCTGGTGCTTCGGAGGCTGCTGGTGCTGCTGCTGTGGCTAGTGCTACTGCTGCTGCTGTGCCTCCATCACTAACTCCTCCAACCGGACCTGTAGCTCCGGTACTGCCTCCAGTGTCGGCTCCCCTAGACGCATTAGCGCCCACACCACCTCCACCTCCTCCACCTCCGCCACCATTCCCACTCTTCCTATCCCTTGCCACGCCGCTGTCCACCGGAGGCAACAATGGCTGCAGTCTCCCCATTAGCTGGAGAATTTGCAGCAGCAAGCTGGAGGCAAACAAATTGGGGAGCAGGGGCAAAGCGCACCCCTCAAAGAGGTGGGGAACACATGCACCAGTAGCGAAGGCGGTTTTCTCATTGAGAGAGGTAGTCTGAATGAGTTTGATAGTAAGCTGAGTGGGGTGCCTAGAAAGGAGAGGGTCGCATGCAGAGAAGAGGCGGTCAGGGAGACACGTCACAACGAAATAGAGAGTGAGGAGGCCTTGATGGCGGTACGTGATCACATGCTGCTGTCACGAGACACCACAACCGCTTTACACCAGTGGCTGTCTGACTGTGAGATGTTACTGCCGCAAGAGGCCAGGGAGATACTAGACAAGGAAAGGCTTGAGCCAAAGGGTTTGAAACAGCAGCACGAGCTTGGGGTGAGAGTGCAGGGAAGCAGATATGCCACGCAAGTGCAAGCAACGCGGTGTATGAGTCTGAACCCACTGTCAGGTCACACGAAACGGTTTTTCTCCCTGACAGGCTACGGCACGGGGGACTGGCTAACAGCTATTCCAATAGAACCGACCAGCCGCGTAGGCCCTGAGCACTTTGCCAATGCGGTTCGCTTCAGGCTCGGGCTCCCTTTTTCTACACCCGCAAAGTGTGACTGCTCTAAACACATAGAAATCACTGACCCACGACTGCCGAACCACCTCTTCCGCGCGGGACAGACAAGCACAGGATCAATACTCACAATGAACCCGTGACGCCTGGATTTCAATGGCAGAGGACGCCGACTTCATAGTCTATGGAGAATCCGCAGCCTTCTGCTCGATTGAAGAACAAACCGCAGACCTGACGATGCGTGTTAGGAGTTCGGGCGCGGTGTATATCTGTGATGTCACCATCACCGACCCAATCAGCACTAGGGACCCACATGCCACCAAGGGGAGGGATGGGCGGCCAGGGAGCAGGCCGACAAGAAGATCAGCCATTATGCTCGCCGCCCTGACATTGTTGGCCTTTTTCCCCTTAGCAGTTGAGACATATGAATGCCCCTGTGCCGAGGTTCCACAGTTTCTGAAGCTCTTGGCAACAACACTCATTCCATGCAGCCCGGTTCCTCCATCTCTTCAGGCAGCGGTGGTCCTGTGCTCTGCAAAGTGCACAATCAGTAGGCTATCTTATTAAGTCCAGTCAGGCGGCAGTAGCTGAAAATCCCCCCGTGGGGGGGGTGCAGTCCGAGCTCCACCTTGGGGACAGTTGTGCAGTACCAGAGCCTCTCATAGAAGTGTAGATATGCAGCTGTGTGCGGCTAGATAGTTCTTTGCTTGTTCGTTTCCATCTCTAGCATCTATACCTTGCATGTTTGTACCCTTTCGATATATCAATGCACGGTCCATTAGACAGGAAGAGAGGCGGAGGGTGACTGTGACGCTGGGCAGTGGTGCTAGCAACACGTTAGCTAGCGCCGAGTAAGCACAGGTGAGTAACGAGATTAGCTGTAGTGGAGAACGCAAAACAAGTCTGGGAAGAGGAGGGGCATAAGGAGGCGACCAAGGGTACTAGAGGAAGGAGTGAAATAGCAAGAAACGACAGCATCAAAGCACTCCTTTGGAGACGTTACCTGGCTGAATTGAACGCACTCGGCCGTCGAAAAAAGGCGACTAAGAGTGAGGCGAGCAGCAGCGTCGCGAGGCTCCCAAACCAAGCACGCAGTCCACTGGACAGCGAAGGTCTCCTGGTCTGTTAACATAGGCTAAGAAGGAAGAGGAGTGCGATGCGGGGGGCAGGCAGCTCAACCCGAAATGTGTGCGTACAGGGTGTCACCATCCTCACGTTGGCTCTGGAGATGATTGGTGTGCAATAGCCACGTGGCGAAGTCAATCACGACCTTCGACTTCGAAGCGTAGGACCCCGTCGGACGCCATGGCTAGTGCTAGCACGATGAGGAGGGTGTCAGGCTAGGAAGGGATGGCTGTCAAAAGCCCGGCGACACAAATGACAGGCTGGCAGCCGACGAGTGAGTAATGTGCGGACGTCAATAAGAGTGGCTTCCCAGCAAGCAATGGTGTCGTGGCTGCGCGCTAGCAGCGAGCATGCAGGGGGCAGCACGTTGCTGGCTCGTGCTGGCGGCGTGTAGCAGGCTGGCGCTGCTGGTGTGCGCTGGGAGAGCGCTGATGATGCACACGCTGTGGGCGAGCTGCTGCTAGTGCACGCTAGCAGCGAGAATCTGGCATCCAGCGTCCAGTGTGTTGCTAGCGCGATAGCTAGGTATGTAGGCAGGCCAGAAGCCCGTGAAATAATCTAAGCGCGTGATACTATGTAACAAGAGAATGAATGAATAAGGGAACATATAAGGGGGGTATATGCAAGTTCATGTCCTCTATGGTGTAACCCTATCCAGCCCATAAAACATACAATAACATGTGTACTTTGACGATCAAAATAAGATTGCGTGAGCGAAGGTGTAAGTAAACAATATATAGCGAAACATGCAAACGGTATTGTGCAAACGCAAGCTAGGCTATGCTATACTGGCAAGGAGGTTCGGGTTCGAGCAGTGCCGAATGGTCCTATGTGTGACTGTTTTTGAAAAATGTTCAATACCAAATCGTTGCCAATTTTCATATTGGATGAACAAGGGCATAAAATCAGAGAACGTGTAAATGATTCCTAAATATTACCTATATCGGGGGTCCATAGATATTTTCGTGGTCATACTTTTCAGGGTGTCGCTCAACTCAAGGACCCTAGCCGCAACCCTTGCTTTGGCCAGGCTAGACCCCAAGCCTCATCCGGTGAAACCAGCCTTGAGGTATTCAGCCACACATCTTCCTCAAGTTTATTTGACTCCCTTGCCAACGTCCTGCACTCGCCAGTTCCTTAGTGTGCTGTGCGTCTAGGTAAGGCGAGACGCTGCCCACACGACACTCTCACCGATTTCTCCTCACGTTCTTCGTCTACGCGTCCTTTTGATCCTCTGTTCCCGCTGTGCATGAGTCGTCGCTGCCTCCTCGCATTCTCGTCCCAGAACACGTCAGCCGCCAGCGGCCGTCCTGTCTTGTCGCACAGCCTCGTCTTCGCTCGCTCATATCATGTATTGTGGCTGTCTCCGCTCTACCATACACTCGCTCCCACCAACTACTCGTCGTATTCGCTTTCCTAACGTGTGAAACTCATTCTCGGTCGCATGCTCCGTTTTCCTGCAGCCATCAAGTTTCCATCTTCCCGTCACCAGCCGTCGACTAGCATCCGACTGCCGTCATCCCGCCGGCGACCCGCAATGGGCATCGCGCGCACGTGGAACGTGGAGTCGACGGTCAAGGTCGCCTTCGCCGTGGTCGTCGGCAGCACGCTCGTCAGCTCCTACCTTTACGCGGTGAGCTCCTCTTCCTCGCCTCGTACGCACTGGCTCTTAATTGTATTTCCACGAACAGAATCTCTTTCCAGCGCGGATCGCCTTCATTGTCGTCATTTGTCGCCCTCAGCACGCTCGTCACTCCCACCTCTCGCAACGAGGCAACGAGGCTGGCGTATCGCACCATGTGTATCTCGTATGGGAGATGCGGCAGTGCGCTTGTGAGTGACAAGTCAAGAGACCTGCAATGCACTGGACCGCGCATACCTCTCTGCCTCCCACCGCCCTTCTCCCACTGGACCTCTCTACCAGTAATCGCCTGCATTCCTTGCCCCACTCACCCATCCCCCCACCCACACACTTTCTCGCCCTTCTCATCTGTTCAGAGCAAGTTGAAGGCGCAAGCAGCAGCAGGGCCACCGAAGAAGTGAGAAGGCACAACATGGACGGGAGCATGTGCCCCCCCCCCATCACTGGCCTCCTCCAAGGATCTGTCAGCACCATGAAGCACACAGAGCCGCCTCCACATGCATTCCCATGGCAACATTACCAATTGTTTGCTTCCCAGTTCTGTCTATATTGCAAATTGTAACTGGGCAGTGTGCACCTTGCGTTATCACCAGAATAGCAAGCCAACCGTTACAGCTTATTGCTCACTTCTCTGCCCACCCTCTGCCAAGGATGACTCTCACATAAAATACAAGAACAAAGCCCTATCTGATTCGAGCGCAGCCACAAGCAGTAGGTCACAAACCTACTTTGGGTGGAACGTGCAATTCTGCTGGATGGAAGCAGCAGGGCTGCTGAGGTGCTGCTGCTGCAGGTGGTGGCCAGGTGGTAGCAGGCTGTATGGCACTAATTGTGCCACAAGTCAACACCGCAGCTTGTGTGCCAATATGTGTGCCAGTCTGCACAGCAGCATGCATCACTGCTGATGCTGATGCAAGCACCATGCCAGACTCATCATCATCATCATCCTCATCCTCTTCATCCTCCTCCCCGCCCCACACATCACTCCCCAGCTCCCCATCCCCACCATACCCCACGTCGCTGCCATACCCCGAGTCTCCCCCGCTCTGCCCCTCACTCCCCACCCGCCCACTGCGCCTCTCCTCCCCCACGCGCCCCTGCTCCTGCTCCCACGGCCCCTCCCTTGCCCACGCCCCCTCTCTCGCCCAGTCTCTCCCCAGCGCCTCCCCCTCCACTATGCTCCTGGGCGTGCTGAGCGCTGCTGCCCCTCGCCTGGGGGGCATGCAGCAGAGGGGAACGGGGAAGCATGGCACAGGGGAAGACAAGGGGAGAGAGGGTGCCTAAATGAGGAAACGAAAGGAAAACAAAAGGAATATGAAGGAAGGAAAGGGAAGGCGAGGCGATGAAAGGATAGGAAACGAATGAAAGTGAAAGGAAAAAAACAGAAAGGTAAGGAAAGAAAAGCAAAGCAGAGGATAGGAAAGCAATGGACAGGAGGGGTAATGAAAGGGTAGGAAAGGAGAACGTAACGGGAAGAGAGGAGGAAGGTTCTCCTTCGGTGCCATGAAGGTTCTTGGCAACACAGGAAGAAGCACACCACACTAGAGGTTGAAAAGAGGATACGGGGGGAGTGAGGAGGCACTATCACTATGAGAGGATGAGATGAGAACACGAGTGCAGTGCCCACCTGTCTCGTGCCCCTTGTGGCAGGTCAAGCCCCGTGCTGCTGCTGCTCACATACCCCCCTCCTCCCGGCACCACCGCCACCTGCCCACCCTCCTCCCACCCCTCCTCTACACTCAGCCTCTGCCTCCACCCATCCACACCCAACCCTCCCCCTCCACTCGCACCTTTCCCCATGCGCCCGCCACACCTGCCTGCACCACCCTGTGATCCCCTGGCAGCAGAGCTGCAACGTCGGCTGCTGTTGCGCCCCGCCTCCACCCGCTGCTGTCTTGCCGGCCTCACAGCCCCGCGCGGCCCGTGCTGCTGCCGTGTGGGGCGGGACGAGCCGGCAGGGCGAGAGTGGCCATAGTACAGCTCGCCACTCGCACGGCTCACATGCTTCCCGCCGCCCGCCTGCCGCCCGCTGCTCCCACTGCTGCCGCCCTTAAATGCACCACCACCAGCAAGGGTGGCAGCAGCGGCAGCGGGAGAGGCAGTAGGTGAGGTTAAGTGCGGTGCGGGGGAGTGCCTGCCCGCGTCGGAGCTCCTGCCGATCTCGGAGAGCGGATGGGCGTCGGAGAGGCGGTCGCGATCAGAGAGAGAGGGAGAGGGTGGCACGACAGGCTGGTCAGAGAGCAGGGCAGTGGGGTCAGAGAGCACAGCAGCACTGGCGGAGGCGGAGAGGGAGAGGGAGGGAGCGAGGGGGTCGGAGGCACAGGAGGTGTTGCATGGGGCTGCTGCTGCCGGGTCGCTGCTTTCGCAGGGCATTGCTGCAGCATCGCTGCTGTGGCCGCCCACCACTGCCACTCCCACCCTGCCTTGCGCTGCCTGCACGCTGCAGCGCCGCCTCTTTCGAAGCTGCACATGGTGATGCCGAGCGGGAGGGGGGAGAGGGGAGGATGTTAGCATTCCAAGATGGGCACTAAGGCACACCGTGATGGGCACATCATGATGAACGTAGAGATGTGCAAGCCTCACCTGCCTGCCCACCGTTCAATCTCTTCATGTGCCTCACCTGCCTGCCCACCTTTCAATCTCTTCATGTGCCTCACCTGCCTGCCCACCTTTCAATCTCTTCATGTGCCTCACCTGCCTGCCCTCCTTCCACCGCCATGTGCCCCGCCCTGCCCCCGCTGCCATCTGTCCCACACCCCTCCTGCCTGCTGCACTGCCGCCTTCCTCCGAGCTTTCACTCTCCTCCCCGCCCCCCCGCACAGCCATTCTGCACCCCGCCCACTCCGCCGCCCCACCTTTCTCCTCCAAAATCAGCATCCCTTCACCTCCCCACGCACCCCACTCCCCTCCTCCGCCTGCCTCCCACCCACCAGCACCAGCACCAGGCGTGCCTCTCTCCCCCTCCTCACCTTCCTCCTCCCTCTCCTCCTCCTCCTCATCCCCCTCTCCCCCTTCCTCCACCTCCGCATGGTATTCGCTGCTGTCGCTCCCCCCATCCCCTACAAACACCTCCCGCCCTGCCCTCTTGCGCCCACACACCTGCCTCGCCCCTGCTGCTCCTACCAGCATGCCGCCTGCCCCCTCACTCTCCCGCCCCCCGTCCTCCCCCTCTGCTGTCCCGTGCCCCTTACCGCTGCTGCCACTAACCAACTCCGCATCCCCCCCATCCTCACCAATCCCCCCAACCCTCCCCCCTTCTCCTTGCAACAAGCCGGCGTTCTCCCCTGCCACCGCCACTCTCTGCCTCCTCACCCGCCTCCTCCTCCATCTAGAAGCTTCCAAGCTGCTTCCCTCACCAGCTGGACCGTCCACGTCAGCAGCAGGAGCACCACGCGCAGCAAACACAGCAGCAGCATCCCACGCTGCCCCCGCCCCACTCCCTTCCCCTGCTTCCGCTGCCTCACCCTTGCCCGCCATCCCGCTCCCTCCCTCCCTCCGCCCATCTCCTCGCTCCGGGCCCTCTCTGTGCTGCGCGCCCCCCTCCCATTCCCCACGCCCCAACTCCCCTCCACTGCCCTCTGCGTCCTCGCCTCGCCTGCGCGCCTCTGCCCGTGCTGACAGCCCTCTCCGCCTTCCCACCGCCCCACTGCGCCTTGCTTTAGGCGGCCCCATGCTGTTGCCTCCCATGCTTCCTGCGGTGACTTCACCACTGCCTCGCACCCATGCCTCATCACTCGCCGGCGCCGCCCCACCCATGCCTGCCTCACCTGCCTCGCCTGCCTCACCTGCCTCGCCTGCCTCAGCTGCCCTTCCCTTCTCGCCTGCCTCACAAACCCTGCCTGCGAGTGGGCCGAATCCCACACGTCTGCTGCCACTGTTGTGCGCCCAGCAGTCTTCGTGAGCACCACCGCGCGCACCCCCACCCCCACCCCCACCCCCTTGCGCATGCGCATGCCCATGCCTCCCCCCCCCACTGCCCGGCCGCACTGCTCGCCGGGCTGCCTGCTGCTCCAGCGCATGCCAGCTCTCGTCCGAGCTGCCCCCCGACCACCCTGACACGCGCACGCCTCTGCCTCGGAAACCCAACCGAACCTCATGCTCCGGCTTGGCAAGATCCGCCGTCCCGAGCCTCCGAGCTTCGCCGCAGGTAGGGCCCACTGCTGCTGCTGAAGCATGGGCGCTGGGTGGGGCGCTAAAAGCGGCGGAGCCGCGCCACGCCTTCCCGTGCGCCTGCAGAGGCTGCGCCGCACGCACCTCCTCGCAGCTGCTCGTTCCCCGCCCCGCCGCGCCCGCATCCTCCGTTTCCTCCGCCCACTCCTCCCCCTCCGCCCCCTCCCCTCCCCCCCGCCCGGCCTCGTCGCGCTCATCCATGGCCCTCTCCGCCGCCGCCTCCGCCGCGGTGAAATTTCCGCGCGCGGGCCCTGCAGCGCTCTCTGCCTGAGCGCCCTCCGCCTGCCCGAACGGGCTCCACGCGCCCAGGCGGTCCAGGCACGACGCCAGCTTGCGCTGCGCGCGCCGCCTGGCGGACGCCCGCCCGCGGTGAGTCGCGCGCGGGGCGGCTTCAAGGGGGTCCGCGGGCGGAGGAAGGGCGAAATCCACTGCCGCCGGTTGCGCCATGGTGGGAGAGGGGCGGTGATGGAGGGACGGCGGGGCCAACCAGCGTGTGCGCGCTGAGGGGCGCGCGTGGCCTGCTGGCGGAGCCAGCGACTCCCGGCGCGACCGCGACGCCTGGGCGTAACAGGCACGCGCAAGGGTCGTTCGCGCTTCAGTCGCTCGGCAACGCACCCGGCGAAGGAGCGAGAACTGCCGCCTCTGCTCTCGACAGCGCGGGCGTGATGACGAGAGAATATTAATCCTGGAACGAGTAAGTTGAGGGACGTTATATCCCGCCTCACTCCGCGCTGCAGTTGTTGATGCAAGCACAGGGCTCAGTACGCTTGTAGCGGAGCTGAGATATTAGCGCGTACTGAAATAGCGCGTACAGGAGGAGCCTCACTAAACTCAGCTGACTGCACATCAATATTAGCCCGTTCTGACAAAAAATCAGTTCGCGCACACAACCACCCCCTTTTTGAATTAAAGCCCAAGACCTGAATTACTCAACGGAAGTCAACTGAGTATTTCTAGGTTCGGCGGGCTGCCAGTTGGAGGTTCGGATGGGTTGAGTGACAGGCGAAGCCTCAAAAACACTTTGCGACTGAAAGTAGTTCGCCACAAACTCCCTACATGCTGATTGGTTGTAAAAAGCAGGCAGGGCCCTTCTTCCCAAACTCGACAAACCTGAGAAGCAACGTGCCAGGGAAACTGTGCACAGTTTGAGCAGCCACACATGCACTCGAACAAACATATTAGTTGCTTAGTCCACTTCAGCAGGGCGCCAGGTGAGGAGAGGGGAGCACGCAAGGTGAGGAGAGGGGAGCACGCAAAGTGAGGAGAGGGAGCACGCAAGGTGAGGAGAGGGAGCACGCAAGGTGAGGAGAGGGGAGCACGCAAGGTGAGGAGAGGGGAGCACGCAAGGTGAGGAGAGGGGAGCACGCAAGGTGAGGAGAGGGGAGCACGCAAGGTGAGGAGAGGGAGCACGCAAGGTGAGGAGAGGGGAGCACGCAAGGTGAGGAGAGGGGAGCACGCAAGGTGAGGAGAGGGGAGCACGCAAGGTGAGGAGAGGGGAGCCCACGCAGGGTGAGGAGAGAGGGGCACGCGCAAGGTTGGCGATCGAAGAGCATTGGAGGTGAGGAGAGAGGGGCACGCGCGGGGAGGCGAGAGGAGCACGCAGGGTGAGGAGTGAGGAGCACGCGCGGGGAGGCGTGGGAGGCATGCAAGGTGAAGAGAGAGGAGAACGAGTAGGTGAGGAGAGAGGAGCACGCGCGGGGAGGCTTGAGGGGCGCGCGAGGGGAGGCGAGAGGAGAACGAGTAGGTGAGGAGAGAGGAGCACGCGCGGGGGGGCTTGAGGGGCGCGCGAGGGGAGGCGAGAGGAGAACGAGTAGGTGAGGAGAGAGGAGCACGCGCGGGGAGGCTTGAGGGGCGCGCGAGGGGAGGCGAGAGGAGAACGAGTAGGTGAGAAGAGAGGAGCACGCGCGGGGAGGCGAGAGGGGCGCGCGAGGGATGGCGGGAGGAGGCTGCGCGGGGAGGCGAGAGGCGGCCGCGCGGGGAGGCAAGAGATTTGCGAGCATTGAAGGCGAGAGGAGCACGCGAGGGGAGGCGAGAGGAGCACGCGCGGGATGGTGAGAGGAGGCCGAGCGGGGCGGTAAGAGGAGCGCGCGCTGGGATGCGATGGGATACCGCGCGGAAGGCGAGAAGAGCGCGTGCGGGGTGGCGAGAGATTCCCGCGCGGGCTTACCGAAACGGTGCGCGCGCAGGGAGGAGAAACGTGGGCTTGAGAAACGGGCTTCCCGCGCGTGGAATCGTGGGCCTGACTGTCAGGATAGCGGGGCGTTGTGGGGACACGACGACGCTGAAAGTGGGTGGTCGCGGAGTGGTGCACGAAGCGCCGCAATGGGGCACGACGACGAGGAAGCGATGGGAGGGGATAGGGGTAAGGACGATGGGAGGGCAATGGCGACAGGGACCACGCGGGAAACGAGGGTGACGGTGCGTCAAGGGGGAGGCCGATGTGAGGGGATTTCCTCCCTACGCCTCTTGATCCTGTTTAGCGCGACGTCTCGTAATATGGGATTCGAGCATTTTACGCTTGTGACGAGCGCATTCCTAAATTTCGTGTTGCATCGGGGTTGAAGGTGGGAATGTGCTAGGGGCAAAAGCTTAGAGTCTCGCTTAGTAGCCGCACAGGCATTCCTGAATTACCATTTCTAGGCAAACTGTGCACAGGCAGTTCCCTTCTTCCTTCAGCAGGGGTGGTTGGAACTCTCGCCAAGTTGAAGCGTTCTGCTCTACGACGCGGTCTTTGTGGGGTGCGACGTTTTCTGGTAACCCCACTGGCTCGGGAGGTGTTCATTGGGCTCGGAAGGCAAACTGTGCACAGTTTGCCCTTTTTGATTTGTAATTCAGGTATTGGGCTTTAAGTAACCACTCTCGCAAACCTCACGCGAATAACCCACACGTGGGTTCGCTCACGAAGGTGAGTGTTTTTGGCGGTCGAAACGATGTTCACTGCGAGCAATGGTCGTGTGTTACTCACAATGGATCTGCGATGCACCTGAACTATTTTCAAACCACTTCGGACATTTCGTATCAGTTGATTTCGGCCAATCAGAATTCCCCACCCCAAAAACCATTCAGTGGGTCGCGAGGGTGTGCAAGGCCCAAACTGGGTATACCTGGCATTTGGCGATTTCAAGTTCTAGCCTCTCTGGCTTGGCTGTGCTGCCTGCTCAGCATCATGCCGTGCTGCAGCAATTCGATTTTTGTATGGTATTTGAACCGAACTGAAACCCTACCCAACCGTTCCTATTTCCAGCAAAACACCTTCCCGTCAAGAATACACAAAGAACATACGAGACAAGATATCCGTCGCACCCGGCTCTAGCTATTCCCAGGCCGTAGCCGTTTGACCTAATAATCTTCGCAGAAGTGCGTTCTTTCCGTCGACATTAGCTCAAAATACCTAAACTGTTACTCTCATAGTTCAGATATCATGCCTCCCTCGTACCTCAACAACCTATCAGATGACCTCCTCGTTTACATCTTCTGGCACTCCAAGAAAGATGTTCCAGTCCGCCGCCAATCCAAAGACCTTAGACTTCATCCATCCGTTCACATCATGCGTTCACCAAGGTACTCCTCCGACAGCCCCTACGGCGACGACCTCAGCACCTTGGAAGAATTTTCGTCCCTGTCCTCCGTCCAGCGGAACGACGATAATACCACTGCTGCTACAAATACCAGTAATAGTACTACACCGTTGTCAGCTCCTGCCGTTCTCACAGATCCAGCCTACCACCTTCTCATCGCATCCGTTTGCAAGCGCTGGCGTCGCCTGGCTCGCCGGCAGGTCTCAATGCTCCTCGTGAAGGAAAACGTCGCCGTTTCTCTCCAAGATCTCACGGCTGCCATCACGTGCTTCCCGAACCTCTCTCATCTGCACCTCAGCGACAACAGCGTTGAGACCATCAGCGACGCATTTCTCGATTTTCTCGCTTCTGCGTGCCCTAAACTGGTGTCGCTGCACGTGGGGAGAGAGATCACGCTGACGGCGGAATATGAGCCTGAGGAGATGAACCTGGTGACCGAGGCTGGTTTGGACCGCTTCCTGCGTCGCTGCACTCAGCTGCAGCACCTCTCGCTCTACTGCCTGCATTGCTACTGCAAGCTGCCGGATTCTCTCTCGCTCCTTACGAATCTACACACCCTCGCTCTCACCGAAGCCTCACCTCTCGAGGCTCCAGGGTTCACGAGATTGACTTCTCTTACCGCGCTCTCCGTCGACATGATTCCACAGCCGGAAGGTCTGAAATTCGCGAGCCTCACGCATCTCCCGGCGTTCACCACCCTCGCATTGTTCAACTACGCATGGCTGAAATTAGAAGTCGCCGGCTCTCAACCATTCTCATTCGCCCAGCTGCCCTGGCTGAAAGCGGTGGAGTTCGACGCGTTCAGTCCGCGATTCGAGTCGATGTTTCCCTCGGGAGTCTCCTTCAGCCGTCTCGAGCGGCTGCTTCTTAAAGGTAGCAGTGTCAGCGTGGTGGCACGTCTTCCTGATGACATTGGACAGCGGTTGCCACGCCTTCGGCATCTGAGCTTGTGGGGATGGAATAATGTTCCCGAGCTGCCCGAACAGTTCGCTTCACTAAGCTGCCTGCGTGACCTGACTATTTTCTCATGCGACATTGTCAGCCTGCCCGAAAACTTTGGAGAGCTGCCCGCTTTGAAAGCGCTGACGCTGAACAGCCTGCCGATTACGAGTCTCCCAGATTCATTCTACCAGCTGACGTCTCTGGAAACCCTCCACCTCTCTTACTGCAACGCTATCTTTGAGCTGCCTGCAAGGTTCGGTTTCCTCACCGCACTCAACTCCCTCTGCATCCTCAACTCGCCAAACCTGAAGCTCCCAGACGACATCGGCTCACTCACCAACCTCCACACCTTCCGTCTGAGAGAGAATTCCCCCCAGCAGCTGCTTCCATCCTCGTTCACGCAGCTGGCCTCCCTCACATGGCTCGAGCTTACCCAGTGTATGCTAGAAGAGCTTCCAGAAGACTTGGGGAAGCTGAGGAACCTGCGGGATTTGACCGTCCAGTCCTGCTCCAAGATTCAGCAGCTTCCAGATTCTCTCACTGACCTTGTCAACTTAAATGTTCTGAAAGCTATAGACTTCGATAGCCTTACTGCAATCCCCACCAGCTTGAGCAACCTTAGAAGGCTCAAAGAGTTAGTTCTAGCCAAGGTCCCCCAGCTTTCACAGGTATCAAGGTCTCTGCCCCGCTCCCTTGAAGTTATGACCATAGGGAGTTTCCAGCGGCTCACCCCTCTGCTGGAGCTTCCTTCTCTGCCCAGGCTGAGAAGAATGAGCTTAACTTGTGTTGGGCACATGCGGGAACTGGCTCAAGGCATGACCCTCCCTTCACTGGAGCACTTGGAGCTAACGTTAGCTGGAGAGGCAGAGGACCTTCCATTGCCTCTGGAACTTCTTACCAACCTCTGCAGCTTGACACTCCACAGCACTGGTTGCATGGAGAAGCTTCCTGAAGGGTTTGGTTCGGCATTGCGGCAGCTGAGGCGGTTGCAGATAGAGGGTGCTGCAGAACTAGTGGAGCTGTCAGATAGTTTCACCGACCTTCAATCGCTGACATCCGTAGAGATCCATGCACCTAAGCTTGCCTTCCTTCCGCACGGCATGGGGGCGTTATCTCGACTGCACCAGCTGAATCTTGATAAGTGCTCATCGCTCACCCACCTCCCTGCTTCTCTCACCCAGCTTTCCTACCTTCATGCGTTGAACCTCCGCCGCACGCGCATACGCTCCCTGCCTTCCAACTTTGGACAACTGAGCCGGCTCAAAGGGCTCAATCTGGATGGCTGCAGGCAGCTGGCTTCTCTGCCCGAGGACCTCTCCCAACTGAAGATGCTTCTCAGCTTGACTCATGAATGCTGTGACGAACTTGAAGCACAATTTGAAGCTCAAGCTATGGAAAGAATGTATGGGCTGTCTGCATACCACTCGTAATGGTTTTTAGTCAGGTGTCAAGCGGGGGGGGAGGGGGGGAAGGAATGTTTAGATGCTACGGAAATGGCTGGATGCATGCATCCCTGGTTGCTTGCTAATGGTAAACCTACTCGCGCTGTAAACATTGTCTTCTTCAAATGTGTTGTACCACTACTTATTTTGAAACAAAATATTCCCTTACAGCCATGACTATGTTTACATGTGTGGCACACTCACACTGCACCACAATAATGTATAACATGACTGCTGTGGGTACAAAGATTTGTATCTCAGCGTTTCTGCTTCTTCTTCGCCCCCACGACCACTTCCCTCACGATATCTCGCCACAGCCCATCCACCACGCCCTCCTGCCCTGCCCGCACCCACGTCCTCACCTCCGCCCTCAGAAACTCCCCATCACACTCCCACGCCGCCCTCAACTTTCCCTTAGAGTCAACAGGCCCTCTCACACCTTCCCCTCCACTACCACCACTCTCACCCCTTCCCCCTGCCCCTTTCCCTCCCCCTCCTGTCACCCCCACCATCAGCCTATGCACCAAGTCAGCTGCCCTCCTCTGCCCCAACCCCTCCGGCCGCAGCAAGCTCGTAGGGTTACCAGCCAGCAGCCCGTGTAACCGCTTCATCGCTCCCACCACCTGCCCCTGCAGCAGCGCGCACGCGAACACAGCAGCCCGCTCCCTGCTGCCTTCCAAATCCACAGTGCATGCCGGCAAAGGCCACCGCTTAGGCCCATACACAGCCGCCACCGTCGCGAGAATGCGGTCCGAGGGGGGGTGGTAGCGGGGCGGCGGGTCGGGGAGTGGCTTGGAGAGAGAGCAGAGCGCGGGGCAGGAGGAGGGAAGCCAGGAAGGGTCGACGGCGGTAGTGGTGACGAGGAAGGGGTGGGACTCGGTCTGAACAATTTCATTGAAGAGCAGGAGCGGCGGGGCGGAACGAAAGGTGGCGCTGCGCGGATGCAGCAGCACTGGGTCGTCCATGAACAGTGCCTCGTACCGCACGGCACGTTTCGGCAGGGAGTGAGCGCCGCCAGCAGCACCTGCTGCTGAGGGCTTGTCTCCAGGGGCCATTTTTCTCGCCAAGCGGTCAGGCCAACCAGCAGCAAGGCCCCTTCGGATGAGCCCCTCTTCCCACTCCCTCAACTGTGGCTCCACCCTCCCCTCCCTGTCCCCCTCTCTCCCTGCCCACAGCTGCTCCCCCCTCTCCACCAGTAGAGTGAGCGGCAAGGGCGCAGCGGGATGGGAAGGGGCGGAGGAGGAGGCGGGGGAGGAGGAGGAGAGGGCGGAGGGAGAGGAGGAGGAGAGGGTGTGAGAGAGGAAGGATTGCAGGAGGTGGGCGCGGGTGCCTGTGAGGAGCAGGCGGGACAGCTGGTGGGCGAGTTGAGACATCTCCCTCATGCACCGCTCCCGCAGGAAGAACCGCTGGCAGAACCGCTCCCCCGCTCCCCCCCAACCTCCTGCGCCCGCGCCACCTTTGCCCCTCCTGCTCCTGCTCTCCTGCCCCCCTTTGCCCGCGCGGACAGCAGCGTCGTAAGCTCGCAGGGCGTTGGCAGCGGTGATGGCGTCGCTGCTGCGACTCCAGAAGAGCGCATGCGCTGCCCGCCGACTCAACGCCCCTCCATGGGGAGGAGCGGCAGCAGCCCTTGATTCGCTCTCTTCACCTCGCCTGCCATCCTCCCCGTCTCCTCTCTCACCCTTCCCCTCACCATCCCCTTGATCCGCCGTGCTCGAATCATCATCACGAAGGAAAGGGCTCTCCACACTCATTGCAGCCACCACGGCTATCGCATACCGCACCACCAACGCACTCACCCTCCCCACCTCCCCCTCCCCCTCCTCCACCTTCTCCCCCTGCTCCCTCTCCCCCTTCTCCTCCACTCCCGCTTCCCCCTCTCTATGACTCACACCTCCACCCTCCTCATTTTCTCCCCCTTCCATATACCTCCTCTTGCCTCTCCTCCCCTTTGCCTCTCCCGTACCCCCCTCCCTACGCTCCCCCCCTTCTTCTGCCCCACCCTCTCTCCCAGTTCTGCCACCCATGAGATCTGCCAGAGGAACCTTCCTGGCAGCTTCGTGCAGAATGGCTAGCAGAGTGCGTGCGTGGCGAGGGCTGATTGGTAGACAAGCCATGGCACGGCCAAGAGGGGTGATGGTGGGGTAGTGGGAGGCGGAGGAGGAAGAGGAAGGGGAAGGGAAGGTTGGTGGGGGAAGGGCGGAGAGGTGCTGCAGGCAGTGCAGGGCGGAGGCGAGGGAGTGGGGTTCGGGGGGCGTGGGGAAGGGGAAGTTGAGAACCTGTTGGGGGTATGTTGAGGGAGGCGGGGGCAGAGGGTGGTGGAAGAAAAGGGGAAGGCATATATGAAGATGGGTCTATGCAATGAGAATGGAATGGTAGCCGCGGTTTCATGCCCTCATGCCTCATGCCTTTTGCCTCATGCCTCCCATGGCCCAGACCACACCATATCAATGCTCATGGCTTTTACGTTGGTCGTGCAACCTCATGGTTTCGATTCAATCTGTTTTCCTTGTGTGTGTGTGTGTATATGTGTGTATATGTGCTTGCATGTAATGGTATGAGACAATGGCATTATATGTTCCATGCCAAATGAATGTGTGCATTGAGACAGAATACCAAGTGCGTGTGTTGACTCGTTGAAGTAATTTCACTAGTTCAATGTTAAGTAGTTGTTTGTGTCGTGCACATTTTCTGTTTTGTCGTGTATCGAACGTTCGGCATGTCGCAGGTATGAGCTGCAACCTCCCATAAACCCGAAACAATTCAAAGTGAAAACCCAACACCATGGTTAAAATCATTTGGAGCTTGCTATAACAATACATTTCAGTTTAGTATAGATAATAACCTTGCATTTTGTAGTTTACCCGTACTCTTGGAGTGACATCCTTGTGCTAAGTGGTTTCCACATACGTCAAGGTTAGGAAATGTGTGACACTAATCTATTTTTCTGAATCTCGGCCCTTGGAGTTTGTGGATCTGTTCAAAGAGCTATTACGTCGTCATTCGTTTATCGAGAAATATAACTTGGTAATTGTAAATGACATCAAGACGGTCCATATCCAATTTATAGCACACAAAATATAATGATGGGATCCGAATGCTATTAGAATTTGAAGCCGCTCTGATGAAATGAGTCAACGCACTCTAAATTTTGTTTAACTCACATTGGAGTCCGTTTTGACCATAACATACCTCACCTTATCAACGCCCACGACCTTCACCTCACCTTATCGATGCCATACCCTTCACCCCATCTTATTAATGCCATACCCTTCTCCTCATTTTATCAATGCCATACCATTCACCTCATATTATCAATGGCATACCCTACACCTCACCTTAGCAATGCCCATGGCATTCACCTCACCTTATTGGAGTCGTACCTTCATCTCCTGTTTGTGCAACCCCATAGTTTGCACTCGGCTTGTTGTCTTTGTGCGGCCATGCGTGTGTGCATGGAATGGTATAAAGTCATGAGATGATATATATTTCATGCTTATAATTGTGTGTGAATGATGAATCACGATGTTGACTGTGTGTTATTGTTTGTCGCGTGTCACGTCGTCGTTCGCGTGTCGTGTGCGTTTTTCTATGTTATCGTGTGTCGAACGTTCGGCGTGTCGCAGGTGTGTGCAGCAAGCCTTAAAGAATTCAAGGAGAAAATTATCTTGAAAAACCAGAGCCTTAAGTTCAAGACTCAAAAGTTTCGAAACTAAACGTTAAACACCAAGATATTCAGATAGTTACATTGCATTATGTAGTGTAGCATAATTCTTAGTGTAGACACTTGTGGTGGATGGTTTCCACACTTTTTGAGGTTGGAGACTGTGTGACACTGTTCCAGCTCCCTGGAACTCGGTTCTTGAAGTTTGTAGAGGCTGTAAGTCATCCCCAACTCGTCACTTCTTCCAATTTCGTATCATAAGTCTATAGTTGCTGCGAAACCGCCGTTCGTTGAAACTACAGTCACGTCGTCAAATCTTCATCAAATCAAGTTATTTAAATTGCCTATTGTAGAAGACGTTGAGCACTCCATATCCAATTTATAGCACATCATTTAGTGCTATTACCAGAACATTATAAAGTTTTACAACCGCTCAGCCAAAATCCATCTGTGCACTCTATCTTTCGTTTTAGGCACATTTGAGCCTATTGTGATTATAACACCTCCACCATATTGACGCCACGACCTTAGCCTCACTGTATCAATACCCATAACCACCTGCATTGCCACGCCTCAAAAGGCGTGCATTGGAGAAGAGGTGGAAGACTGACCTTTAAGAATAAACAAGACTCTCTTGCAAAGGCCCAACCCAAGTGCCCCACCCTGCCTGCCCTCATGGCCCATGCGCCATACGCTTCCTCTCACCTTATCAATGCCCATGGCCTTCATCTGCAGCACCACGCCCTCAATGGGCGTCCTCTCAATCTCCGCCTGCCCGAACGCCTCAAACTGGTTGGCAAATACAGCACTGGAGAACAGCCGGTAGCACTGCCCCGGCCCTGTGCGCCCCGCCCTGCCGGCCCGCTGGTCCGCCGATGCCCGCGAGATCCACTCCACTGTAAAGCGCGCCAAGCCCACTCCCCCTGTGTGTTGCTTCACTTTGGCTCGGCCAGTGTCCACCACATAGCGTATGCCTACAAGGGGAGAAAGGAGGAGGCAGCCAGAGGCAAGGGGGGATGGGGATGGGAAGAGGGAAGGAGACGTCTCAAACTTCAACCCAACACCCTCCCTGTGTGGACTCTTCCACTTGATGTGCTTATTGCAAATGTAGGAGAATGTATCAAGTTAGGCTCGAATGAGCCAAGGTATACATAGGTAGAGAGATGATAGAGTGATGAGCAACAATGATTGACGGTCCCGTACATTGTAGGTTTGGTTGAACCAACATTATTGGGGCTCCAAAAATTGTTGGGTGGATTTGTACCAACATTATTGGAGGTCCTAAAACTAGTAGGAACCCAACCAAGGTTCAACCACAAATAGTGGTTAAAGTTACACCCAACAACCCTACACAAATTCTAGCATATGCATGTTGCATAACAGATTACAACACTTACTATCCCCAACATACCGCACACATTCAGGGTGAAAGTGGTTGGTGGGGGTAGAGGCGGTAACGGGCAAACAGGGGGACTTGAAGGAGACGCATTGGAGGAGGAAGCAGTCTGGGCCATATTAGGGCTAATCATTATGACGCGGTGAAAAATCATGCAAACACGCAGGTGCAAACACGAATGACAACACGACAAAGAGCAAGTTCAACTTGATCCGATTTACATGAAGTGGAGAGAAACAACGGAAACACCCTCATGCCTAAGTTACGTCTTTTTGAAACAACGGAAACACCCTCAACTGTTCCGAGTCCACAAATCTTTCTGGGACACCCTGATTCGTCGCAATCACCTGATTTGTGGCAATCACCTGAATTGTTGCAATCACCTGAATTGTTGCAATCACCTGATCTGTTGCAATCACCTGATCTGTGCAATCACCTGATCTGTTGCAATCACCTGATCTGTTGCAATCACCTGGAATCGTGATGGAGGTCTCAGCAACGTTGGTAGCAACGACCACCAGGCGGCACCCCTCAGGCACCACTCCGAACACCTTCAGCTGTTGGGCAGCCGGCAGCATGGCGTACAGCGGCAGCACGTACATGCCGCCCGACCCCGCCTGCTCCTCTTTGGAGCCCAGCCCTGCCTCTTCGCCCTTGCCGCCCAGCCCAGCCTGCTCCCCCTTGCCGCCCGGCCCAGCCTGCTCCCCCTTGCCGCCCGGCCCTGCCTCTTCGCCCTTGCCAGGCTCCGTTCCCCCTCCTGCCACCTCACCTGTCCCTGCTACCTTCCTGGCACCTGCTTCCCCAACTGCCCCTTCCTGCTGTGTCTCCCCACCCTCGCCCTTCTCCCCACCCAGCAAGCCCCAAGTCTCCCACTCCTCCTCCTCATCCTCCTCGTCGTCCTCCTCATAGTCATCTCCCCCCTCCTCGCCCTCATACTCTCCCCCTTCCACTACCGCCTCCCACTCCGCCTCCTCTTCCTCACCATCCCTCACACCCCCCACTGCCTCCTCCCCTTCTCTCTCCGCCGCCCCGTCCCTCTCCCCTCCCTGCCTCCCACTACCATCCCTTCTTGCTCTCCCTACACTCTCCAGCCGCACAATGGCATCCAAGTTTGCATCGGGCTCACCCTGCTTCTCCACACCCATACCATCCGCCTCTCCTCCCTTTTCACCCTCGCCACTCTCTCCTCCCTCTCTTCCCTCTCCCTCCCCCTTACCCCCTTTGATCGTCTTCCCCTCCGCATCCTTTTTCTTGCTACCTCCTCCTCCAGCCCCGACTTCCACTCCATCCCTGCCCCCAGTTCCCCTTCCCCCGCCCCCCCTGCCCGCATCCCTGCTGCTCCCCCGCCCCCCCCTTCCTCTACCCCCACCTTCCCCCCTCCTCTGCCGCCCCACCTTCATCGGAAACTTCTTCCGAAGCTTCCTGCAAAGGTCCTCCACCTCTCTCTGCCCGGTCAGAAACACCAAAACCCCACCGGGGGGCAGCTTTCGATGGATCGCCGAAACTTTTTTCTCGGCTGCCCGGACGTAATCCATGAGCTCGGTGCGCCGGGCAAAGTGAACGGTGACGGGGAATTGGCGGGCAGGCACGGAGACGACAGGGGGAGGGCCCGCCGGGAAGAGGCGCGTGTTGAGAGTGAAGTCTGAGATGCGGAGAGTGGCGCTCATAATGATGAGCTTCAGAGGAGGCGGGGCGGAGGAAGGCCGACCAGCCGCCTTGGCTTCCTCGTGGAGTTTCTGTGGGTGGTGAAGGGAGCAAGTAGGGCAAAATGAGGCGGGAGAAGCATGAAAAAAGGGGAGGCGCGTAATGAGAGTAAAGTCTGAGATGCGGAGGGTGGCACTCATAATGATGAGCTTTAGAGGAGGCGGGTCGGAGGAAAGATGGCCGGCCGCCTTGGCTTCGTCATTTAGCTTCTGCAGAGCGAAACACACAAGGAGGAAGGGACGAAGCAGGTCAAGAGGGAGAAAGCAAAAGTGAAGAGGCGCGTGTTGAGAGTAAATTGTGAGATGCGGGGGGTGGCACTCATAGTGATGAGCTTTAGAGGGGACGGAACGGACAAAGGGCGGCCGCTGGCCCTAACATCCGCGAGCAAGAAGAGAGGGAAGGGAAGAGGTGGTTGATGGGGGTGACGTGTGAGATGAAGAGTGTGGCGCTCACGTGAGCACTCACCCTTGCTTCCTCCATTCGTACCTGTGAGCTAGCGGAACGACCCCAGCAGCCATGGCAGCGAGGAATGCTCCTCTCTTGGCAACGGGGCAGAGAGCAGCTCATGCGTTGCTGTGAGGCACACTCGTGTGTCCGCGCTCCAGGCACATTGAATCCTGCCAGCAGCGCTTCTCCGGGGGCTTTAGCCCTCCGGCGAGTGTGCCATGAGCCTCAATCTACTGAGAATAACAGACAGCACGATGGATTCAACAGGAGAGCACATAGAATCATTTTCACTTTGTGAGGTTGAAGAGAAAGAAAACATTCAGCTGGAGAAGTTGGATTCCGTAGAGGAGGTTCAGTTTGAGGCGGCCGATGATACAATGAGGAGAATCTCGGAAGTTCAAACTCAATTGAGGTTAAAGGAGATGGAGCTCAAGCGCGAGAGAGAAATTTTGGTCTTCAAGGAGCAAGAAATGACCAGGCTGAGAGACATGGTCAAGGATCAATTTCATCTACAGTCTGCTAAGGAACAATTGGAGGCTGCCAATCTCAAGATCAGAAACTTGCAAGATCAAGTGACCAAGCTGGTAGAACATCTCGCCATGTTGGAAGTACAACTGACAACAAAGAAAAGACTGACTTATTAAAGCTTTGAATTGTTGTAATTTTAACATGGATCGGCTTTTGTGATCCCTGCAAAAGCCGATCTATGCTAAAGTAACAACAATTCAAAGCTTTGTTAAGTCGGGTTTCTCTTTGTTGTCAGTTGTTCTTACAACATAACGAGATGCTCTACCAGCATGGTCACTTGATCTTGCAAGTTCCTGATATTGAGATTGGCAGCCTTCAATTGTTTTTTAGCAAACTGTGGATGAGATAGATCCTTGACCATGCCTCGCAGCCTAGTCATTTCTTGCTCCTTAAAGACCAAAATTGCTTTCTCGCGCTTGAGCTCCATCTCCTTTGACCTCAGTTGAGTTTGAACCTCCGAGATTCTCCTCATTATATCTTCGCCCGCCAACTGAACCTCCTCCACAAAATTCAGCTTCTCCCGCTGAATGTTTTCTTTCTCTTCAACCTCACAAAGAAAAAACGATTCTATGTGCTCTCCTGCTGAATCCAACGTGCAGTATGTTTTTCATCTCTTCATGCACTCATCTATACCCAATACTCGTGTGCGTCTGTGCTCAAGGCACTGTGGATGAATCATTAATGGAGAGGGCCATACAGGGCATACAACCCCACAGGGCATACAGGGCCATACAGGGCCATATAGGGATGAGCAAGGGGGCGAACACGAACATGTTCGTGTTCGCCCTTATACGAACGAACACAGCCGTTTACCGAACCGGACACTGTTTGGTTCGGCGAACTTTTTTAGCAAAAACAGGTGTTCGCCGTTCGCCTGTGAAGGCGTGTTCGGGCGAACCTCGAACACGTTCGTGTTCGTCGCGGGGCAAATTGCAGCAGCGGCCCGAACACGAACGTGTTCGGGCGAACCTCGAACACTGTTTGGCGAACACTTTAAGTAAAGAAACAAACCTGTTTGGTTTGCCCCGAACGTGTTCGAGGCGAACCGAACAGGTGTTCGTTTTTTTGCTCAACCCTAGGGCCATACAGGGCCATACAAGGCCATACAGTGCCATACAGGGCCATACAGGGCATACAGGGACTGGGCCAGCTGCTGTGCTTTGCTCAACTGCTGCATACAGAACAGACAATCAGTGCCCCGTCCCTTTATGCCCTGCGCCCACACCCAAATTTGTAGTCGATGTTTTAGCGGAGTGGCACGATGCAAGAAAACAGCCTTGCCCTGGGCTGGCGACTGTGAGCAATGCCCATCCTCCCCACCCTCCCTTGCCCTCTCCCTTCACCCCTCCCTTTTTTCCCCTCTACCCCTATCTCCCCCCCACCCCTCGTTCCCACCAACTTGCCTGGCGGAGGGGCACGATGCGGGAGAGCAGAGCAGCACCCACCCTACCCCCCTTCCCTTTGCCCCCAACGTGCCTGGCGAAGGGGCACGATGCGCGACAGCAGCCCGACGAGGATGTCGGTGTTGACGCTCCGCTCATGCGCCTCGTCCAGCACCACCGCGCTGTACTGCCGCAGCAGCAGGTCCGCCTGCACCTCGCGCAGCAGGATGCCATCTGTCATGATCTTAATGGCCGTGCCGCCCGCCACGTGGCGGTCGTACCGCACCTGCAGGAGGCCCAGAACGCACCCCCAAAGCGCACCACCATAGAGTTACCGGTTGTTCGTTAAGAATGGATTGAATTACAACAAGGGAAAGGGAAATGTGAGGAGGAAGAAAGAGTGACTAGAAAGGTAAGGGGAGAACGTGAGCAACAATAAATTTGGAAAAAAATGGTTTCAGGCCAATTAAAGTATAGACGCACCTGGTAGCCAACCTCTTTGCCCACGGCGACCCCCATCTCATCCGATATGTGCTTTGCCGTCGCCAGCACTGCCACCCTCCGTGGGAGCACGGGAGCAGCAAGGCAATGAGAGACATTCAGCAAGAGTTCTCATGTCAGTCAAGTATAGACGCACCTGGTAGCCCACCTCCCTGCCCACAGTGACGCCCATCTCATCCGCTATGCGCTTGGCCGTTGCTAGCACCGCCACCCTCCTCGGCTGAGTCACGGCGATCATGCCGGGTGTGCCTCCCGGGAGGGACGAGCCGTACCCGGCCTCGTAGAGAAACTGGGGCAGGGAGGGAAGGGGGAGGGGAGGGGAAGAGAGGAAGGAGAGGGACAGGCATATCAAATCTCACGCTTGGCCGTGGCTAGCACTGCCACTCTCCTTGCTTCAGTGACGGCAATCATGCCGGTTGTGCCGCCCGGGAGGGACGAGCCGTACCCTGCTTCATAGAGAAACTGGGGCAGTGGAGAAAAGGGGGGCAGGGGGGGAGGGGGGAAAAAGTGAAGGTGAGGGAGAGCGGAGGGAGAGGAGAGAAAGAGAGGAAGGGAGTGATTTGCATGAAAATTTCCTACCTGCCGTTCCCACCGGCACTCTTCGGGAAGAACGGGCCATACCCTGTCTCATACAGAAACTGGGAGGGGGTAGGAGAGGAGGTAGGGGTCTAAGAGAAAGGACCTTCTCTCACGCCCCGGTTGCCTCCATAACCTCTGCCCCCCCCTCTCCACCTCCTCTCCACCACCCACACGCCCCTCCGCCACACACCTGCGGCACTTGGGTCGTTCTGCCCGACCGACCCCATCCCGCTGCACACGGAGATGGCAGGGCAGGCCCGCATGTACCCTCCCCTTCCTCCCCCCACCCACGCATTTCCCTTTCCCCACCCCACACACCCGCACTCACCTGTGGCACTTGCGTGGTCTTCCCCGACCCTGTCTCGCCGCACACCAGCACAGCATTGCTGCCCCCCACCGCCTCCATCACCTCCCCTTCCATCGCCACCACTGGCAGCCCCGCCCGCTGTGCCTCTATCTCCTCCCGCCGCTCCACCCGCACCCACAGCTTGCCTCCCCTCTGCCCCGCCTGCTGCCCTCCCTGCTCCCCTTGACCACCACCCTCCCCTCCCTGCTCTGGCTTGCCTTCCAATTCTTTTCCCTGCTTTCTCTGCTCCGCCACCACTGCTGCTCCTTTGCTCTCTGCTGCCTGCTGCTGCTCTCCTTCCTCTGCCCTGATGACGTCATCCCTGACCTCCTCCATTCGGTGCCCCTCCTGTGCCCCCAGCAACCCCTGATTCTCCTCTACTTTCCTGTCCCCCACCTCTTCACCTTGTTGCTTCCCCTCCTCCTCTCCCTCCTCCCCATCATCGCTATCACTAACCTCTCCCTCCTCTCTGCTTCCCTCCTCCCCACTGCTCTCCCTACTCGTGTCCCCCTTCCCTTCCGTCGCCATCGCTTTATTCGCACCTTCCCCACCTCCCATGCCCTCTGTAGCCATCTCTTTCATCTCCACCTCCATCCCCACACACTTTCCTCTCTTCACTGCTCCTTCCCTCCCCTCCTTTCCTCCCTCCACTGCCCCTTCTTTCCTCTCGCCCACCCCACTCTCTTCCCCCTCGTTTCCCCCACTCCTCGCCCTCCCCCTCTCATCTTTCCACGCCAACAAGCCTTCAACCCTCTCATCCTCACTATCCTCATCATCCCCTTCCTCACTCCCCTCCTCACTCTCCCCCCCTCGTCCCCCTGCGCGTCTCTCCCGCAGCAGCAGAGCCTGCAGGGCAGCGGGGGGGGTCAGCCCTGCCTCTACAAACGCCTTGGCGCGCTGCACCATCTGCTTGCTGCTGCCACTCTGCTTGCGGGGAGGGAGAAGGAGGGTTGGGTAGGAAAGAATGCAAGGAGTGTTTTTACGATTTCTCAAATCTACCCATCACGGGGGGTCAGCCCTGTTTGCACTGCCACTTGGGGAGGAGGTTAGGGGAAGGTTAGGTAGGATGGGGAAAGGGTGGACGGAGCAGGGTGGGGGGAGGCGGGTAGGGGAAGGAGGGTAAGGGAAGGCGGGTAAAGGAAGGAGGGTAAGGGAAGGCGGGTAGGGGAAGGCAGGTAAAAAGGACAGGTATGAGAGGGCGGAAAGGCAGTGGCGGTTAAGGTGTGGCAGGCAGGAGTGCGGCCGGCTGCTCCATCACTCTCTGCTGCCTGGTGCTGCACCCATTGCCCTCCCATTGCCCACCCATTGCCCACCCATTGTCCTCCCATTGCCCACCCATTGCCCTCCCATTGCCCTCCCATTGCCCTCACCTTGCCCCATTGCCACCATTGCCCACCCATTTGCCCACCCATTGCCTCCCATTGCCCCCCATTGCCCACCCATTGCCCTCCCATTGCCCTCCCATTGCCCACCCATTGCCCACCCATTGCCCTCCCATTGCCCACCCATTGTCCACCCATTGCCCTCCCATTGCCCTCCCATTGCCCACCCATTGCCCTCCCATTGCCCACCCATTGCCCTCCCATTGCCCTCCCATTGCCCACCCATTGCCCTCCCATTGCCCACCCATTGCCCTCCCATTGCCCTCCCATTGCCCACCCATTGCCCTCCCATTGCCCACCCATTGCCCACCCATTGTCCTCCCATTGCCCACCCATTGCCCTCCCATTGCCCTCCCATTGCCCTCCCATTGCCCACCCATTGCCCTCCCATTGCCCACCCATTGCCCACCCATTGCCCACCCATTGCCCACCCATTGCCCACCCATTGCCCTCCCATTGCCCACCCATTGCCCACCCATTGCCCTCCCATTGCCCTCCCATTGCCCACCCATTGCCCTCCCATTGCCCACCCATTGCCCTCCCATTGCCCTCCCATTGCCCACCCATTGCCCTCCCATTGCCCACCCATTGCCCTCCCATTGCCCTCCCATTGCCCACCCATTGCCCTCCCATTGCCCACCCATTGCCCACCCATTGTCCTCCCATTGCCCACCCATTGCCCTCCCATTGCCCTCCCATTGCCCTCCCATTGCCCACCCATTGCCCACCCATTGCCCACCCATTGCCCTCCCATTGCCCTCCCATTGCCCACCCATTGCCCTCCCATTGCCCTCCCATTGCCCACCCATTGCCCACCCATTGCCCTCCCATTGCCCACCCATTGCCCTCCCATTGCCCTCCCATTGCCCACCCATTGCCCTCCCATTGCCCACCCATTGCCCTCCCATTGCCCTCCCATTGCCCACCCATTGCCCTCCCATTGCCCACCCATTGCCCTCCCATTGCCCTCCCATTGCCCACCCATTGCCCTCCCATTGCCCACCCATTGCCCACCCATTGTCCTCCCATTGCCCACCCATTGCCCTCCCATTGCCCTCCCATTGCCCTCCCATTGCCCACCCATTGCCCCCCCATTGCCCACCCATTGCCCACCCATTGCCCTCCCATTGCCCTCCCATTGCCCACCCATTGCCCTCCCATTGCCCTCCCATTGCCCTCCCATTGCCCACCCATTGCCCCCCCATTGCCCACCCATTGCCCACCCATTGCCCTCCCATTGCCCTCCCATTGCCCACCCATTGCCCTCCCATTGCCCTCCCATTGCCCTCCCATTGCCCACCCATTGCCCTCCCATTGCCCACCCATTGCCCACCCATTGCCCACCCATTGCCCTCCCATTGCCCTCCCATTGCCCACCCATTGCCCTCCCATTGCCCTCCCATTGCCCACCCATTGCCCACCCATTGCCCTCCCATTGCCCTCCCATTGCCCACCCATTGTCCACCCATTGCCCTCCCATTGCCCTCCCATTGCCCACCCATTGCCCTCCCATTGCCCTCCCATTGCCCACCCATTGCCCTCCCATTGCCCACCCATTGCCCAGCCATTGCCCACCCATTGCCCTCCCATTGCCCTCCCATTGCCCACCCATTGCCCTCCCATTGCCCACCCATTGCCCTCCCATTGCCCTCCCATTGCCCTCCCATTGCCCACCCATTGCCCACCCATTGCCCTCCCATTGCCCTCCCATTGCCCACCCATTGCCCTCCCATTGCCCTCCCATTGCCCTCCCATTGCCCCACCCATTGCCCTCCCATTGCCCACCCATTGCCCACCCATTGCCCTCCCATTGCCCTCCCATTGCCCTCCCATTGCCCTCCCATTGCCCTCCCATTGTCCTCCCATTGCCCACCCATTGCCCTCCCATTGCCCTCCCATTGCCCACCCATTGCCCTCCCATTGCCCTCCCATTGCCCACCCATTGCCCTCCCATTGCCCACCCATTGCCCACCCATTGTCCTCCCATTGCCCACCCATTGCCCTCCCATTGCCCTCCCATTGCCCTCCCATTGCCCACCCATTGCCCTCCCATTGCCCACCCATTGCCCACCCATTGCCCTCCCATTGCCCTCCCATTGCCCACCTATTGCCCTCCCCATTGCCCTCCCATTGCCCTCCCATTGCCCACCCATTGCCCCCCCATTGCCCACCCATTGCCCACCCATTGCCCTCCCATTGCCCTCCCATTGCCACACCCATTGCCCTCCCATTGCCCTCCCATTGCCCTCCCATTGCCCACCCATTGCCCTCCCATTGCCCATTGCCCATTGCCCACCCATTGCCCACCCATTGCCCTCCCATTGCCCTCCCATTGCCCACCCATTGCCCTCCCATTGCCCTCCCATTGCCCACCCATTGCCCACCCATTGCCCTCCCATTGCCCTCCCATTGCCCACCCATTGCCCTCCCATTGCCCTCCCATTGCCCACCCATTGCCCACCCATTGCCCTCCCATTGCCCTCCCATTGCCCACCCATTGTCCACCCATTGCCCTCCCATTGCCCTCCCATTGCCCACCCATTGCCCTCCCATTGCCCTCCCATTGCCCACCCCATTGCCCTCCCATTGCCCACCCATTGCCCAGCCATTGCCCACCATTGCCCTCCCATTGCCCTCCCATTGCCCACCCATTGCCCTCCCATTGCCCTCCCATTGCCCACCCATTGCCCTCCCATTGCCCACCCCATTGCCCAGCCATTGCCCACCCATTGCCCTCCCATTGCCCTCCCATTGCCCACCCATTGCCCTCCCATTGCCCACCCCATTGCCCTCCCATTGCCCTCCCATTGCCCTCCCATTGCCCACCCATTGCCCACCCATTGCCCTCCCATTGCCCTCCCATTGCCCACCCATTGCCCTCCCATTGCCCTCCCATTGCCCTCCCATTGCCCACCCATTGCCCTCCCATTGCCCACCCATTGCCCACCCATTGCCCTCCCATTGCCCTCCCATTGCCCACCCATTGCCCTCCCATTGCCCTCCCATTGCCCTCCCATTGCCCACCCATTGCCCACCCATTGCCCTCCCATTGCCCTCCCATTGCCCACCCATTGCCCTCCCATTGCCCTCCCATTGTCCTCCCATTGCCCACCCATTGCCCACCCATTGCCCACCCATTGCCCTCCCATTGCCCTCCCATTGCCCACCCATTGCCCTCCCATTGCCCTCCCATTGCCCACCCATTGCCCTCCATTGCCCACCCATTGCCCACCCATTGTCCTCCCATTGCCCACCCATTGCCCTCCCATTGCCCTCCCATTGCCCACCCATTGCCCACCCATTGCCCTCCCATTGCCCACCCATTGTCCACCCATTGCCCTCCCATTGCCCTCCCATTGCCCACCCATTGCCCTCCCATTGCCCACCCATTGCCCTCCCATTGCCCTCCCATTGCCCACCCATTGCCCTCCCATTGCCCACCCATTGCCCACCCATTGTCCTCCCATTGCCCACCCATTGCCCTCCCATTGCCCTCCCATTGCCCTCCCATTGCCCACCCATTGCCCTCCCATTGCCCACCCATTGCCCACCCATTGCCCTCCCATTGCCCTCCCATTGCCCACCCATTGCCCTCCCATTGCCCTCCCATTGCCCTCCCATTGCCCACCCATTGCCCCCCCATTGCCCACCCATTGCCCACCCATTGCCCTCCCATTGCCCTCCCATTGCCCACCCATTGCCCTCCCATTGCCCTCCCATTGCCCTCCCATTGCCCACCCATTGCCCTCCCATTGCCCACCCATTGCCACCCATTGCCCACCCATTGCCCTCCCATTGCCCTCCCATTGCCCACCCATTGCCCTCCCATTGCCCTCCCATTGCCCACCCATTGCCCACCCATTGCCCTCCCATTGCCCTCCCATTGCCCACCCATTGTCCACCCATTGCCCTCCCATTGCCCTCCCATTGCCCACCCATTGCCCTCCCATTGCCCTCCCATTGCCCACCCATTGCCCTCCCATTGCCCACCCATTGCCCAGCCATTGCCCACCCATTGCCCTCCCATTGCCCTCCCATTGCCCACCCATTGCCCTCCCATTGCCCACCCATTGCCCTCCCATTGCCCACCCATTGCCCCCATTGCTCCCATTGCCCTCCCATTGCCTCCCCATTGCCCACCCATTGCCCTCCCCTTGCACCATCCCATTGCCCCCCATTGGCCCACCCATTTGCCCACCCATTGCCCTCCCATTGCCCACCCATTGCCCACCCATTGCCCTCCCATTGCCACCCATTGCCCTCCCATTGCCCTCCCATTTGCCCCCCACTTGCCCACCCATTGCCCTCCGCCTTGCCCCACCCATTGCCCTCCCATTGCCCTCCCATTGCCCTCCCATTGCCCTCCCATTGCCCTCCCATTGCCCACCCATTGCCCACCCATTGCCTCCCATTGCCCACCCATTGCCCTCCCATTGCCCTCCCATTGCCCTACCCATTTGCCCTCCCATTGCCCACCCATTGCCCCCCATTGCCCACCCATTGCCCATCCCATTGCCCTCGCCATTGCCCACCCATTGCCCTCCCATTGCCCTCCCATTTGCCCTCCCATTGCCCACCCATTGCCCCCCCATTGCCCACCCATTGCCACCCATTGCCCTCCCATTGCCCTCCCATTGCCCACCCATTGCCCTCCCATTGCCCTCCCATTGCCCTCCCATTGCCCACCCATTGCCCTCCCATTGCCCACCCATTGCCCACCATTGCCCCACCCATTGCCCTCCCATTGCCCTCCCATGCCCACCCATTGCCCTCCCATTGCCCTCCCATTGCCCACCCATTGCCCACCCATTTGCCCTCCCATTGCCCTCCCATTGCCCACCCATTGTCCACCCATTGCCCTCCCATTGCCCACCCAGTGCCCCACCCATTGCCCTCCCATTGCCCTCCCATTGCCCCACCCATTGCCCTCCCATTGCCCACCCATTGCCCACCCATTGCCACCATTGCCCCCCATTGCCTACCATTGCCCACCCATTGCCCTCCCATTGCCCTCCCATTGCCCACCCCATTGCCCTCCCATTGCCCTCCCCATTGACATTGCCTCCCATTGCCCACCCATGCCCTCCCATTGCCCACCCATTGCCCAGCCATTGCCCACCCATTGCCCTCCCATTGCCCTCCCATTGCCCACCCATTGCCCTCCCATTGCCCACCCATTGCCCTCCCATTGCCCTCCCCAGTGCCCTCCCATTGCCCACCCATTGCCCACCCATTGCCCTCCCATTGCCCTCCCATTGCCCACCCATTGCCCTCCCATTGCCCTCCCATTGCCTCCCATTGCCCACCCCTTGCCCTCCCATTGCCCACCCCATTGCCCACCCATTGCCCTCCCATTGCCTCCCATTGCCCACCCATTGCCCTCCCATTGCCCTCCCATTGTCCTCCCATTCCCACCCATTGCCCACCAGTGCGACTTGCCCCTCCCATTGCCCTCATCCATTGCCCCCCTTGCCTCCCCATTGCCCTCCCATTGTCCTCCCATTGCCCACCCATTGCCCACCCATTGCCCACCCATTGCCCTCCCATTGCCCTCCCATTGCCCACCCATTGCCCTCCCATTGCCCTCCCATTGCCCACCCATTGCCCTCCCATTGCCCACCCATTGCCCACCCATTGTCCTCCCATTGCCCACACCATTGCCCTCCCATTGCCCTCCCATTGCCCACCCATTGCCCACCCATTGCCCTCCCATTGCCCACCCATTGTCCACCCATTGCCCTCCCATTGCCCTCCCATTGCCCACCCATTGCCCTCCCATTGCCCACCCATTGCCCTCCCATTGCCCCCCATTGCCCACCATTGCCCTCCCATTGCCCACCCCATTGCCCACCCATTGTCCTCCATTGCCCACCCATTGCCCTCCCATTGCCCTCCCATTGCCCTCCCATTGCCCACCCATTGCCCTCCCATTGCCCACCATTGCCCACCCATTGCCCTCCCATTGCCCTCCCATTGCCCACCCATTGCCCTCCCATTGCCCTCCCATTGCCCTCCATTGCCCACCCATTGCCCCCCATTGCCCACCCATTGCCCATCCCATTGCCCTCCCATTGCCCACCCATTGCCCATCCCATTGCCCTCCCATTGCCCTCCCATTGCCCACCCATTGCCCTCCCATTGCCCACCCCATTGCCCACCCATTGCCCACCCATTGCCCTCCCATTGCCTCCCATTGCCCACCCATTGCCCTCCCATTTGCCCTCCCATTGCCCACCCATTGCCCACCCATTGCCCTCCCATTGCCCTCCCATTGCCCACCCATTGCCCCCCATTGCCCTCCCATTGCCTCCCATTGCCCAATTGCCCACCCATGCCCACCAGCCCACCATTGCCCTCCCATTTGCCCTCCCATTGCCCTCCCATTGCCCACCCATTGCCCAGCCATTGCCCATCCCATTGCCCTACCCATTGCCCATCCCATTGACCATCCCATTGCCCTCCCATTGCCCACCCATTGCCTCCCATTGCCCTCCCATTGCCCTCCATTGCCCACCCATTGCCCACCCATTGCCCTCCCATTGCCCTCCCATTGCCCACCCATTGCCCTCCCATTGCCCCTCCCATTGCCCTACCCATTGCCCTCCCATTGCCCCCCATTGCCCAGCCATTGCCCACCCATTGCCCTCCCATTGCCCTCCCATTGCCCACCCATTGCCCTCCATTGCCCACCCATTGCCCTCCCATTGCCCTCCCATTGCCCTCCCATTTGCCCTACCATTGCCCACCCATTGCCCTCCCATTGCCCTCCCATTGCCCACCCATTGCCCTCCCATTGCCCCTCCCATTGCCCTCCCATTGCCCACCATTGCCCTCCCATTGCCCACCCCATTGCCCACCCATTGCCCTCCCATTGCCCTCCCATTGCCCACCCCATTGCCCTCCCATTGCCCCTCCCATTGCCCTCCCATTTGCCCCACCCATTGCCCCCCATTGCCACTCACCATTGCCCCCATTTGCCACCCATTCCCCCCATTGCCCTCCCGATTGTCCCACCATTGCCCTCCATTGGCCCATCCCATTGCCCACCCATTGCCCTCCCATTTGCCCTCCCATTGCCCACCCATTGCCCCCATTGCCCCCCATTGCCCTCCCATTGCCCTCCCATTGCCCACCCATTGCCCTCCCATTGCCCACCCATTGCCCACCCATTGCCCACCCATTGCCCTCCCATTGCCCTCCCATTGCCCACCCATTGCCCTCCCATTGCCCTCCCATTGCCCACCCATTGCCCACCCATTGCCCTCCCATTGCCCTCCCATTGCCCACCCATTGTCCACCCATTGCCCTCCCATTGCCCTCCCATTGCCCACCCATTGCCCTCCCATTGCCCTCCCATTGCCCACCCATTGCCCTCCCATTGCCCACCCATTGCCCACCCATTGCCCACCCATTGCCCTCCCATTGCCCTCCATTGCCCCCCATTGCCCTCCCATTGCCCACCCATTGCCCTCCCATTGCCCTCCCATTGCCCTCCCATTGCCCACCCATTGCCCACCCATTGCCCTCCCATTGCCCTCCCATTGCCCACCCATTGCCCTCCCATTGCCCATGCATCCCATTGCCCACCCATTGCCCACTCCATTGCCCTCCCATTGCCCTCCCATTGCCCACACCATTGCCCTCCATGCCCTCCCATTGCCCTCCCATTGCCCACCCATTGCCCTCCATTGCCCACCAAACGACCATTGCCCACCCATTGCCCTCCCATTGCCCTCCCATTGCCCACCCATTGCCCTCGCCATTGCCCTCCCATTGTCCTCCCATTGCCCACCCATTGCCCTCCCATTGCCCTCCCATTGCCCAAGCCATGCCTCCATTGCCCTCCCATTGCCCCACCATTGCCCACCCATTGCCCTCCCATTGCCCACCCATTGTCCTCCCATTGCCCACCCATTGCCCTCCCATTGCCCTCCCATTGCCCTCCATTGCCCACCATGCCCTCCCATTGCCCACCCATTGCCCACCCATTGCCCTCCCATTGCCCTCCCACTTGCCCACCCATTGCCCTCCCATTGCCCTCCCATTGCCCACCCATTGCCCTCCATTGCCCACCCATTGCCCACCCATTGCCCTCCCATTGCCCACCCATTGTCCACCCATTGCCCTCCCATTGCCCCCCCATTGCCCTCCCATTGCCCAACCCATTGCCCTCCCATTGCCACCCATTGCCCTCCCATTGCCCTCCCATTGCCCACCCATTGCCCTCCATTGCCCCATTGCCCTCCCATGCCACCCATTGCCCCCCCATTGCCCACCCATTGCCCACCCATTGCCCTCCATTGCCCTCCCATTGCCCACCCATTGCCCTCCATTGCCCTCCCATTGCCCTCCATATGCCCACCCATTGCCCTCCCATTGCCCTCACCATTGCCCTACCCATTGCCCACCCATTGCCCTCCCATTGCCCATCCCATTGCCCACCCATTGCCTACACCATTGCCCTCCCATTGCCCACCCATTGCCACCCATTGCCCTCCCATTGCCCTCCCATTGCCCACCCATTGTCCCACCCATTGCCCTCCCATTGCCCTCCCATTGCCCACCCATTGTCCACTCCATTGCCCTCCCATTGCCCACCCATTGCCCTCCCATTGCCCACCCATTGCCCAGCCATTGCCACCCCATTGCCCTCCCATTTGCCCTCCATTGCCCACCCATTGCCCCTCCCATTTGGCCCACCCATTGCCCTCCCATTGCCCTCCCATTGCCCTCCCATTGCCCACCCATTTGCCCACCCATTGCCCTCCCATTGCCCTCCCATTGCCCACCCATTGCCCTCCCATTGCCCTCCCATTGCCCTCCCATTGCCCACCCATTGCCCTCCCATTGCCCACCCATTGCCCACCCATTGCCCCTCCCATTGCCCTCCCATTGCCCACCCATTGCCCTCCCATTGCCCTCCCATTGTCCTCCCATTGCCCACCCATTGCCCTCCCATTGCCCTCCCATTGCCCACCCATTGCCCTCCCATTGCCCTCCCATTGCCCACCCATTGCCCTCCCATTGCCCACCCATTGCCCACCCATTGTCCTCCCATTGCCCACCCATTGCCCTCCCATTGCCCTCCCATTGCCCTCCCATTGCCCACCCATTGCCCTCCCATTGCCCACCATTGCCCACCCATTGCCCTCCCATTGCCCCTCCATTGCCCACCCATCCCATTGCCCTCCCATTGCCCACCCATTGCCCTCCCATTGCCCTCCCATTGCCCTCCCATTGCCCACCCATTGCCCCCCCCATTGCCCACCCATTGCCCACCCATTGCCCTCCCATTGCCCTCCCATTGCCCACCCATTGCCCTCCCATTGCCCTCCCATTGCCCTCCCCATTGCCCACCCATTGCCCTCCCATTGCCCACCCATTGCCCACCCATTGCCCACCCATTGCCCTCCCATTGCCCTCCCATTGCCCACCCATTGCCCTCCCATTGCCCTCCCATTGCCCACCCATTGCCCACCCATTGCCCTCCCATTGCCCTCCCATTGCCCACCCATTGTCCACCCATTGCCCTCCCATTGCCCTCCCATTGCCCACCCATTGCCCTCCCATTGCCCTCCCATTGCCCACCCATTGCCCTCCCATTGCCCACCCATTGCCCACCCATTGCCCACCCATTGCCCTCCCATTGCCCTCCCATTGCCCACCGATTGCCCTCCCATTTGCCCACCCATTGCCCTCCCATTGCCCTCCCATTGCCCTCCCATTGCCCACCCATTGCCCACCCATTGCCTCTCCATTGCCCTCCCATTGCCCACCCATTGCCCTCCCATTGCCCTCCATTGCCCTCCCATTGCCCACCCATTGCCCTCCCATTTTGCCCACCCATTTGCCCACCCATTGCCCTCCCATTGCCCTCCCATTGCCCACCCATTGCCCTCCCATTGCCCTCCCATTGTCCTCCCATTGCCCACCCATTGCCCTCCCATTGCCCTCCCATTGCCCACCCATTGCCCTCCCATTGCCCTCCCATTGCCCACCCATTGCCCACCCATTGCCCTCCCATTGCCCACCCATTGTCCTCCCATTGCCCACCCATTGCCCTCCCATTGCCCTCCCATTGCCCTCCCATTGCCCACCCATTGCCCTCCCATTGCCCACCCATTGCCCACCCATTGCCCTCCCATTGCCCTCCCATTGCCCACCCATGCCCTCCCATTGCCCTCCCATTGCCCTCCCATTGCCCACCATTGCCCTCCCATTGCCCACCCATTGCACCCACTCCATTGCCCTCCCATTGCCCACCCATTGCCCCCCATTGCCCACCCATTGCCACCCATTGCCCTCCCATTGCCCACCATTGTCCACCCATTGCCCACCCATTGCCCACCCATTGCCCTCCCATTGCCCACCCATTGCCCACCCATTGCCCACCCATTGCCCTCCCATTGCCCTACCATTGCCCTCCCATTGCCCACCCATTGCCCTCCCATTTGCCCCCCATTGCCCCCCATTGCCTCCCATTGCCCACCCATTGCCCTCCCATTGCCCACCCATTGCCCTCCCATTGCCCTCCCATTGCCCACCCATTGCCCTCCCATTGCCCATCCCATTGCCCACCCATTGCCCTCCCATTGCCCTCCATTGCCCTCCCATTGCCCCCATTGCCCACCATTGCCCTCCCATTGCCCTACCCATTGCCCTCCCATTGCCCACCATTGCCCACCCATTGCCCTCCCATTGCCCTCCCATTGCCCACCCATTGCCCTCCCATTGCCCTCCCATTGCCCTCCCATTGCCCACCCATTGCCCTCCCATTGCCCACCCATTGCCCACCCATTGCCCTCCCATTGCCCTCCCATTGCCCACCCATTGCCCTCCCATTGCCCACCCATTGCCCTCCCATTGCCCACCCATTGCCCACCCATTGCCCACCCATTGCCCTCCCATTGCCCTCCCATTGCCCACCCATTGCCCTCCCATTGCCCTCCCATTGCCCACCCGTTGCCCACCCATTGCCCTCCCATTGCCCACCCATTGTCCACCCATTGCCCTCCCATTGCCCTCCCATTGCCCCACCCATTGCCCTCCCATTGCCCTCCCATTGCCCACCCATTGCCCTCCCATTGCCCACCCATTGCCCACCCATTGCCCACCCATTGCCCTCCCATTGCCCTCCCATTTGCCCACCCATTGCCCACCCATTGCCCACCCATTGCCCACCCATTGCCCTCCCATTGCCCACCCATTGCCCCCCCATTGCCCACCCATTGCCCACCCATTGCCCTCCCATTGCCCTCCCATTGCCCACCCATTGCCCTCCCATTGCCCTCCCATTGCCCTCCCATTGCCCACCCATTGCCCTTCCCATTGCCCACCCATTGCCCACCCATTGCCCACCCATTGCCCTCCCATTGCCCTCCCATTGCCCACCCATTGCCCTCCCATCGCCCTTCCCATTGCCCACCCATTGCCCTCCCATTGCCCTCCCATTGCCCACCCATTGCCCACCCATTGCCCTCCCATTGCCCTCCCATTGCCCACCCATTGTCCACCCATTGCCCTCCCATTGCCCTCCCATTGCCCACCCATTGCCCTCCCATTGCCCTCCCATTGCCCACCCATTGCCCTCCCATTGCCACCCATTGCCCTCCCATTGCCCTCCCATTGCCCTCCCATTGCCCACCCATTGCCCACCCATTGCCCTCCCATTGCCCTCCCATGCCTACCCATTGCCCACCCATTGCCCTCCCATTGCCCTCCCATTGCCCACCCATTGTCCACCCATTGCCCTCCCATTGCCCTCCCATTGCCCACCCATTGCCCTCCCATTGCCCTCCCATTGCCCACCCATTGCCCTCCCATTGCCCACCCATTGCCCAGCCATTGCCCACCCATTGCCCTCCCATTGCCCTCCCATTGCCCACCCATTGCCCTCCCATTGCCCACCCATTGCCCTCCCATTGCCCTCCCATTGCCCTCCCATTGCCACCCATTGCCCACCCATTGCCCTCCCATTGCCCTCCCATTGCCCACCCATTGCCCTCCCATTGCCCTCCCATTGCCCTCCCATTGCCCACCCATTGCCCTCCCATTGCCCACCCATTGCCCACCCATTGCCCTCCCATTGCCCTCCCATTGCCCACCCATTGCCCTCCCATTGCCCTCCCATTGTCCTCCCATTGCCCACCCATTGCCCTCCCCATTGCCCTCCCATTGCCCACCCATTGCCCTCCCATTGCCCTCCCATTGCCCACCCATTGCCCTCCCATTGCCCACCCGTTGCCCACCCATTGTCCTCCCATTGCCCACCCATTGCCCTCCCATTGCCCTCCCATTGCCCTCCCATTGCCCACCCATTGCCCTCCCATTGCCCACCCATTGCCCACCCATTGCCCTCCCATTGCCCTCCCATTGCCCACCCATTGCCCTCCCATTGCCCTCCCATTGCCCTCCCATTGCCCACCCATTGCCCCCCATTGCCCACCCATTGCCCACCCATTGCCCTCCCATTGCCCTCCCATTGCCCACCCATTGCCCTCCCATTGCCCTCCCATTGCCCTCCCATTGCCCACCCATTGCCCTCCCATTGCCCACCCATTGCCCACCCATTGCCCACCCATTGCCCTCCCATTGCCCTCCCATTGCCCACCCATTGCCCCTCCCATTGCCCTCCCATTGCCCACCCATTGCCCACCCATTGCCCTCCCATTGCCCTCCCATTGCCCACACCATTGTCCACCCATTGCCCTCCCATTGCCCTCCCATTGCCACCCATGCCCTCCCATTGCCCTCCCATTGCCCACCCATTGCCCTCCCATTGCCCACCCATTGCCCACCCATTGCCCACCCATTGCCCTCCCATTGCCCTCCCATTGCCCACCCATTGCCCTCCCATTGCCCACCCATTGCCCTCCCATTTGCCCTCCCATTGCCCTCCCATTTGCCCACCCATTGCCCACCCATTGCCCTCCCATTGCCCTCCCATTGCCCACCCATTGCCCTCCCATTGCCCTCCCATTGCCCTCCCATTGCCCACCCATTGCCCTCCCATTGCCCACCCATTGCCCACCCATTGCCCTCCCATTGCCCTCCCATTTGCCCACCCATTGCCCTCCCATTGCCCTCCCATTGTCCTCCCATTGCCCACCCATTGCCCTCCCATTGCCCTCCCATTGCCCACCCATTGCCCTCCCATTGCCCTCCCATTGCCCACCCATTGCCCACCCATTGCCCTCCCATTGCCCACCCATTGTCCTCCCATTGCCCACCCATTGCCCTCCATTGCCCTCCCATTGCCCACCCATTGCCCTCCCATTGCCCTCCCATTGCCCACCCTTGCCACCCATTGCCCTCCCATTGCCCACCCATTGTCCTCCCCATTGCCCACCCATTGCCCTCCCATTGCCCTCCCATTGCCCTCCCATTGCCCACCCATTGCCCTCCCATTGCCCACCCATTGCCCACCCATTGCCCTCCCATTGCCCTCCCATTGCCCACCCATTGCCCTCCCATTGCCCTCCCATTGCCCACCCATTGCCCTCCCATTGCCCACCCATTGCCCACCCATTGCCCTCCCATTGCCCACCCATTGTCCACCCATTGCCCTCCCATTGCCCACCCATTGCCCTCCCATTGCCCACCCATTGCCCACCCATTGCCCTCCCATTGCCCTCCCATTGCCCACCATTGCCCTCCCATTGCCCTCCCATTGCCCACCCATTGCCCACCCATTGCCCTCCCATTGCCCACCCATTGTCCACCCATTGCCCTCCCATTGCCCTCCCATTGCCCACCCATTGCCCTCCCATTGCCCACCCATTGCCCACCCATTGCCCACCCATTGCCCACCCATTGCCCTCCCATTGCCCTCCCATTGCCCTCCCATTGCCCACCCATTGCCCTCCCATTGCCCACCCATTGCCCACCCATTGCCCTCCCATTGCCCTCCCATTGCCCACCCATTGCCCTCCCATTGCCCTCCCATTGTCCTCCCATTGCCCACCCATTGCCCTCCCATTGCCCTCCCATTGCCCACCCATTGCCCTCCCATTGCCCTCCCATTGCCCACCCATTGCCCTCCCATTGCCCACCCATTGCCCACCCATTGTCCTCCCATTGCCCACCCATTGCCCTCCATTGCCCTCCCATTGCCCTCCCATTGCCCACCCATTGCCCTCCCATTGCCCACCCATTGCCCACCCATTGCCCTCCCATTGCCCTCCCATTGCCCACCCATTGCCCTCCCATTGCCCTCCCATTGCCCTCCCCATTGCCCACCCATTGCCCTCCCATTGCCCACCCATTGCCCACCCATTGCCCTCCCATTGCCCTCCCATTGCCCACCCATTGCCCTCCCATTGCCCTCCCATTGCCCTCCCATTGCCCACCCATTGCCCTCCCATTGCCCACCCATTGCCCACCCATTGCCCTCCCATTGCCCTCCATTGCCCACCCATTGTCCACCCATTGCCCTCCCATTGCCCTCCCATTGCCCACCCATTGCCCTCCCATTGCCCTCCCATTGCCCACCCATTGCCCTCCCATTGCCCACCCATTCCCCTCCCATTGCCCACCCATTGCCCTCCCATTGCCCACCCATTGCTCTCCCATTGCCCTCCCATTGCCCACCCATTGCCCTCCCATTGCCCACCCATTGCCCACCCATTGCCCACCCATTGCCCTCCCATTGCCCTCCCATTGCCCACCCATTGCCCTCCCATTGCCCACCCATTGCCCTCCCATTGCCCTCCCATTGCCCTCCCATTGCCCACCCATTGCCCACCCATTGCCCTCCCATTGCCCTCCCATTGCCCTCCCATTGCCCACCCATTGCCCTCCCATTGCCCTCCATTGCCCTCCCATTGCCACCCATTGCCCACCCATTGCCCTCCCATTGCCCTCCCATTGCCACCCATTGTCCACCCATTGCCCTCCCATTGCCCTCCCATTGCCCACCCATTGCCCTCCCATTGCCCTCCCATTGCCCACCCATTGCCCTCCCATTGCCCACCCATTCCCCTCCCATTGCCCACCCATTGCCCTCCCATTGCCCCACCCATTGCCCTCCCATTGCCCTCCCATTGCCCACCCATTGCCCTCACCATTGCCCACCCATTGCCCACCCATTGCCCTCCCATTGCCCACCCATTGCCCTCCCATTGCCCTCCCATTGCCCTCCCATTGCCCACCCATTGCCCTCCCATTGCCCACCCATTGCCCACCCATTGCCCACCCATTGCCCTCCCATTGCCCTCCCATTGCCCACCCATTGCCCTCCCATTGCCCACCATTGCCCTCCCATTGCCCTCCCATTGCCCTCCCATTGCCCACCCATTGCCCACCCATTGCCCTCCCATTGCCCCATTGCCCCCATTGCCCCATGCCACCATTGCCCTCCCATTGCCCTCCCATTGCCCTCCCATTGCCCACCCATTGCCCTCCCATTGCCCACCCATTGCCCACCCATTGCCCTCCCATTGCCCTCCCATTGCCCACCCATTGCCCTCCCATTGCCCTCCCATTGTCCTCCCATTGCCCACCCATTGCCCTCCCATTGCCCTCCCATTGCCCACCCATTGCCCTCCCATTGCCCTCCCATTGCCCACCCATTGCCCTCCCATTGCCCACCCATTGCCCACCCATTGTCCCTCCCATTGCCCACCCATTGCCCTCCCATTGCCCTCCCATTGCCCTCCCATTGCCCACCCATTGCCCTCCCATTGCCCACCCATTGCCCACCCATTGCCCTCCCATTGCCCTCCCATTGCCCACCCATTGCCCTCCCATTGCCCTCCCATTGCCCTCCCATTGCCCACCCATTGCCCTCCCATTGCCCACCCATTGCCCACCCATTGCCCTCCCATTGCCCTCCCATTGCCCACCCATTGCCCTCCCATTGCCCTCCCATTGCCCTCCCATTGCCACCCATTGCCCTCCCATTGCCCACCCATTGCCCACCCATTGCCCTCCCATTGCCCTCCCATTGCCCACCCATTGCCCTCCCATTGCCCACCCATTGCCCTCCCATTGCCCACCCATTGCCCACCCATTGCCCACCCATTGCCCTCCCATTGCCCTCCCATTGCCCACCCATTGCCCTCCCATTGCCCTCCCCATTGCCCACCCGTTGCCCACCCATTGCCCCTCCCATTGCCCACCCATTGTCCACCCATTGCCCTCCCATTGCCCTCCCATTGCCCACCCATTGCCCTCCCATTGCCCTCCCATTGCCCACCCATTGCCCTCCCATTGCCCACCCATTGCCCACCCATTGCCCACCCATTGCCCATCCCATTGCCCTCCCATTGCCCTCCCATTGCCCACCCATTGCCCTCCCATTGCCCACTCCATTGCCCTCCCCATTGCCCTCCCATTGCCCTCCCATTGCCCACCCATTGCCCACCCATTGCCTCCCATTGCCCTCCCATTGCCCACCCATTGCCCTCCCATTGCCCTCCCATTGCCCTCCCATTGCCCACCCATTGCCCTCCCATTGCCCACCCATTGCCCACACATTGCCCTCCCATTGCCCTCCCATTGCCACCCATTGCCCTCCCATTGCCCTCCCATTGTCCTCCCATTGCCCACCCATTGCCCTCCCATTGCCCTCCCATTGCCCACCCATTGCCCTCCCATTGCCCTCCCATTGCCCACCCATTGCCCTCCCATTGCCCACCCATTGCCCACCCATTGTCCTCCCATTGCCCACCCATTGCCCTCCCATTGCCCTCCCATTGCCCTCCCATTGCCCACCCATTGCCCTCCCATTGCCCACCCATTGCCCACCCATTGCCCTCCCATTGCCCTCCCATTGCCCACCCATTGCCCTCCCATTGCCCTCCCATTGCCCTCCATTGCCCACCCATTGCCCTCCCATTGCCCACCCATTGCCCACCCATTGCCCTCCCATTGCCCTCCAATTGCCCACCCATTGCCCTCCCATTGCCCTCCCATTGCCCTCCCATTGCCCACCCATTGCCCTCCCATTGCCCACCCATTGCCCACCCATTGCCCTCCCATTGCCCTCCCATTGCCCACCCATTGCCCTCCCATTGCCCTCCCATTGCCCACCCATTGCCCACCCATTGCCCTCCCATTGCCCACCCATTGTCCACCCATTGCCCTCCCATTGCCCTCCCATTGCCCACCCATTGCCCTCCCATTGCCCTCCCATTGCCCACCCATTGCCCTCCCATTGCCCACCCATTGCCCACCCATTGCCCACCCATTGCCCTCCCATTGCCCACCCATTCCCCTCCCATTGCCCACCCATTGCCCTCCCATTGCCCACCCATTGCCCTCCCATTGCCCACCCATTCCCCTCCCATTGCCCACCCATTGCCCTCCCATTGCCCACCCATTGCCCTCCCATTGCCCTCCCATTGCCCACCCATTGCCCTCCCATTGCCCACCCATTGCCCACCCATTGCCCTCCCATTGCCCACCCATTGCCCTCCCATTGCCCTCCCATTGCCCTCCCATTGCCCACCCATTGCCCTCCCATTGCCCACCCATTGCCCACCCATTGCCCTCCCATTGCCCTCCCATTGCCCACCCATTGCCCTCCCATTGCCCTCCCATTGCCCTCCCATTGCCCACCCATTGCCCTCCCATTGCCCACCCATTGCCCACCCATTGCCCTCCCATTGCCCTCCCATTGCCCTCCCATTGCCCTCCCATTGCCCTCCCATTGCCCACCCATTGCCCTCCCATTGCCCACCCATTGCCCACCCATTGCCCTCCCATTGCCCTCCCATTGCCCACCCATTGCCCTCCCATTGCCCTCCCATTTGCCCTCCCATTGCCCACCCATTGCCCTCCCATTGCCCACCCATTGCCCACCCATTGCCCTCCCATTGCCCTCCCATTGCCCACCCATTGCCCTCCCATTGCCCTCCCCATTGCCCTCCCATTGCCCACCCATTGCCCTCCCATTGCCCACCCATTGCCCACCCATTGCCCTCCCATTGCCCTCCCATTGCCCACCCATTTGCCCTCCCATTGCCCTCCCATTGCCCACCCATTGCCCACCCATTGCCCTCCCATTGCCCACCCATTGTCCACCCATTGCCCTCCCATTGCCCTCCCATTGCCCACCCATTGACCTCCCATTGCCCACCCATTGCCCACCCATTGCCCACCCATTGCCCTCCCATTGCCCACCCATTGCCCCTCCATTGCCCACCCATTGCCCTCCCATTGCCCACCCATTGCCCCTCCCATTGCCCCCCATTGCCCTCCCATTGCCCACCCATTGCCCTCCCATTGCCCACCCATTGCCCACCCATTGCCCTCCCATTGCCCTCACCCATTGCCCACCCATTGCCCTCCCATTGCCCTCCCATTGCCCTCCCATTGCCCTCCCATTGCCCTCCCATTTGCCCTCCCATTGCCCACCCATTGCCCTCCCATTGCCCACCCATTGCCCACCCATTGCCCTCCCATTGCCCTCCCATTGCCCTCCCATTGCCCACCCATTGCCCACCCATTGCCCTCCCATTGCCCACCCATTGTCCACCCATTGCCCTCCCATTGCCCTCCCATTGCCCACCCATTGCCCTCCCATTGCCCTCCCATTGCCCACACCATTGCCCTCCCATTGCCCACCCATTGCCCACCCATTGCCCACCCATTGCCCTCCCATTGCCCACCCATTCCCCTCCCATTGCCCACCCATTGCCCTCCCATTGCCCGCCCATTGCCCTCCCATTGCCTCCCATTGCCCACCCATTGCCCTCCCATTGCCCACCCATTGCCCACCCATTGCCCTCCCATTGCCCACCCATTGCCCTCCCATTGCCCTCCCATTGCCCTCCCACTTGCCCACCATTTGCCCTCCCATTGCCCACCCATTGTCCCACCCATTGCCCTCCCATTGCCCTCCCATTGCCCACCCATTGCCCTCCCATTGCCCTCCCATTGCCCACCCATTGCCCTCCCATTGCCCTCCCATTGCCCACCCATTGCCCTCCCATTGCCCACCCATTGCCCTCCCATTGCCCTCCCATTGCCCACCCATTGCCCTCCCATTGCCCTCCCATTGCCCACCCATTGCCCTCCCATTGCCCACCCATTGCCCACCCATTGCCCTCCCATTGCCCTCCCATTGCCCTCCCATTGCCCTCCCATTGCCCTCCCATTGCCCACCCATTGCCCTCCCATTGCCCACCCATTGCCCACCCATTGCCCTCCCATTGCCCTCCCATTGCCCACCCATTGCCCTCCCATTGCCCTCCCATTGCCCTCCCATTGCCCACCCATTGCCCTCCCATTGCCCACCCATTGCCCACCCATTCCCCTCCCATTGCCCTCCCATTGCCCACCCATTGCCCTCCCATTGCCCACCCATTGCCCACCCATTGCCCTCCCATTGCCCACCCATTGCCCACCCATTGCCCTCCCATTGCCCTCCCATTCCCCTCCCATTGCCCTCCCATTGCCCATCCATTGCCCTCCCATTGCCTTCCCATTGCCCACCCATGCCCTCCCATTGCCCTCCCATTGCCCTCCCATTGCCCACCCATTGCCCACCGATTGCCCTCCCATTGCCCACCCATTGCCCTCCCATTGCCCTCCCATTGCCCTCCCATTGCCCTCCCATTGCCCTCCTATTGCCTTCACATTGCCCTCCTATTGCCCTCCCATTGCCCTCCTATTGCCTTCCCATTGCCCTCCTATTGCCTTCCCATTGCCCTCCTATTGCCCTCCCATTGCCCTCCTATTGCCTTCCCATTGCCCTCCTATTGCCTTCCCATTGCCCTCCTATTGCCCTCCCATTGCCCTCCTATTGCCTTCCCATTGCCCTCCTATTGCCTTCCCATTGCCCTCCTATTGCTCTCCCCTTGCCCTCCCCTTGCCCTCCCCTTGCCCACCCATTGCCCACCCATTGCCCTCCCATTGCCCACCCATTGCCCACCCATTGCCCTCCCATTGCCCTCCCATTGCCCTCCCATTGCCACCCATTGCCCTCCCATTGCCCTCCCATTGCCCTCCCATTGCCCACCCATTGCCCTCCCATTGCCCACCCATTGCCCACCCATTGCCCTCCCATTGCCCTCCCATTGCCCACCCATTGCCCACCCATTGCCCTCCCATTGCCCTCCCATTGCCCACCCATTGCCCTCCCATTGCCCTCCCATTGTCCTCCCATTGCCCACCCATTGCCCTCCCATTGCCCTCCCCTTGCCCTCCCCTTGCCCTCCCCTTGCCCTCCCCTTGCCCTCCCCTTGCCGTCCACTTGCCATTCCCTGTCCCCCTCTCATCTCTCCTGCCCCCCCACCCCCCCGCACCTGTCCCAACGTGCTGCTGGGTGCCATGAGGTGCAGTGCGGTGGCTGACGCCTCGTGCTGCCTAGGGGCACCATGGGGAAGGGTCGATGGGGTGTGGCAAGGGGAAGGGGGAGGGAAAGGGGGGGGTTGGATTGGAGTGACAAGGCGAGAGGTGCAGAGTGACATGTGCGAGCAGGCAGTGGGGCGAGCAAGCAGTGGGGCGAGCAGGCAGTGCGGCTTAGTTGCGAAAGACGCAGGGCGCGTCGTGCATCCTGCGTCTGGACGCAGCGTCTGAACGCAGGGACGCAGGACGCGCGTCCAGACGCAGGACGCACGGCGGTTTTTTTCCGGGCTGTCCGAAACAAAAAAAAACTAAATTTCGCGGAATGTTGACCCCCCCCCACCCATTTCGACCTTGAAAAACCGCAGGCAGTGGGGCGAGCAGGCAGTGGGGCGAGCAGGAAGTACAATGATCCAGAGAGCCCAGCCAGCGGCAGCGGCAGTGGCAGAAGCAGGTACGTTTGAATGGCATGTGCGGCACACAAATGCACACAGTGCAGGTAACCGGGTAGTGTGGAATCCAGCAGAAAGCAGCATGGTGATGAGGACAATACTTGAATCACTTTCGAGAGAGACGGTTTGGGGGGAAGGGGAAAGCGGGAACACGGAATGGGGGAAAAGTTGGAAGTGGGGAACAAGGAATAGGGGGAAGGGGGAAGCGTTGAACAAGGAATCGGGGGAAGGGGGAGGCGTTGAACAAGGAACAGAGGAAAGAGGGAAGCAGGGGGACAAGGAATGGGGGAAAATGGGAAGCAGGGAACAAGGAATGGGGAAAAGGGGGAACCGGGGAACAAGGAACGGGGGAAACGGGGAAGATGGGTATGGGGGGCGAGGGAAGGGTGAGGGGAGGAGCAGGTGGCACTCACTGCAGCAGGTGTATGGCTTGCTTGCGCTTCACCTTCTTCTCCCTCTCCTCCTGCCACCCACGCACCCCATGCACCCCATGCACCCCATGCACCCCATGCACCCCATGCACCCCGTGCACCCCATGCACCCCATGCACCCCGTGCACCCCGTGCACCCCATGCACCCCGTGCACCCCGTGCACCCCGTGCACCCCATGCACCCCATGCACCCCGTGCACCCCGTGCACCCCATGCACCCCATGCACCCCGTGCACCCCATGCACCCCATGCACCCCGTGCACCCCATGCACCCCGTGCACCCCATGCACCCCGTGCACCCCGTGCACCCCGTGCACCCCATCCCCATGCCACCCATGCCCCCGATCCCATGCCCCCGATCCCATGCCCCCGATCCCACCCATGAGAGTGAACAATGAAGGGAGGAACCAAGGGTAGGGGAGGCCCGAAGGTGCAGGGGGGAAGGGGAAAAGCAGTGAGAGGGCCCTCACCAGCAGCTGTTGCACCTCGCACCTCTCTCATCCCCACTTTTCACCACTTCTTCTCCCCCACCTACTCTCTCACCACCTCCCCCGAACGAACAGCACGTTGTCAATCGAAACTCACCTCCTCCACCCCCGGTCCCAGCTCCTACCCTTCCCCCTCCCATTCCCCTTCCCCCCCAAGGTCCCCCACTACCCCTTCCCCCTTCCCCCTTCCCCCTTCCCTCCCCCACCAACCTGGATGCGTCGCAGCTTGCGCTGCACGCGCTTGCTGTTGCGCCGCTTCTTGCGCTCGTCCACCATCTCCAGCTCATCGTTGTCCAGCGCCACGTCATCAGCCAGGTCAGCGTCAGATGCCAGCTCAGCTTCCGGCCCCACCGTTCGCTGCGGGAGAAGAGCAGAGAAGCAACAGCGATTAACAAAGGGTAGGCCACAGGGTTCACTCACTCACAAAGCGCTTTGCACTGCATGCAACGAGAAGCAAGGAACGCACGTAAGCAAGGCAAGGTGACAAGGTCAGACTCAGCAACATAGTGAAAAGCGGAGTGAGGCTTGACATTCGAGTCAGGTGTCACCTCGTTGTTTACAACGGAACGCCAACAGCGAAAAGTTGCACTGTGCCCTTTCTGAGACAACCCAAAAAAAACTGAATCGACCCAAGCAGGCTACAGCCATAGGGCTTACAGAGCGTCATGCGCTTCACCTGCCCTGCCTGCGTAAAACCCCTTTCCTGTCCTAAAACCCTCTGCTTCCCTAAAACCCTTCGCCAGCCAAAATTCCTCCGCCTATCTAAAACCCTCCTCATACCTAAACCTTCCGTCTGCCTAGAACCTTTCACCTGCCTAAAACCTTCCGCTTTATTAAATCACTCGTTTCCTTGAAACCCCCCGCTCCCCTTTACCACTCCACACCACATGCCTAAAACCCTCCGACACTGACCCCACTTCGGTCAAACCCTCTGCGACGACGGCAGAGGGGCGGCTGCGCGCCCAAGGCTGCGTACTCTGAAGCGCACTGCCCCTGTCAGTGCGGCCGTCCCGCACAGCGCTCCTCTGCGAGCTCCCCCCTAACCCACCTCGTCGTGGCGGCGGCCCCCCGCAGAAGGCGCACCGGGCGCAATGACGAGCGCGTTGCTGCCGCCGCCATCTCCCCCCACCGCGCTGCTTTCCTCCCCGCCCAGTAGTAGAGACGGATTGCCTTCGTGTGCCCCGCGCCTGCCGTGTGCGCGGAGAGAGGGGATGCGCGCGGAACGGGAAGGGGAGCCGGAGGGTTGGGGTTGGAAGGAGAGAGGGAGAGGAGGGAGACGAGGGAGAGAAGAGGAGGTGTGGGAGAAGGGGGGAGCGGGGAGATGGGAAGGGGATCCTAGGACGCGCGAGCGACGAGGAGGCGAGGGGGATGCGGCGAGCAGTTGTTTCTGGGGGCGTTGTGGTCAGGGCTGAACGGCAGGGAAAATATTTTAACTGCAATTGCCTGCCCGCGTCGCGCGATCAGCAGAAGCTACGACAAGGTTCTGGTAAAGTCAATAATTATGAGTTTAACGGCACGCTACGTCGCGCGAAGACCGCTAAGGCCACTACTGCCGCGGCACACGAGGCGAGTCTGCGCAACCCGAGCGCGCGCTGGGCTCCGCGCTGCCGCACCTGGGCTTCCGCGTGGCGCGCTTCAGCTGCGCCTTCTTCTGTTTCGGCCGCCCCATGCCGCCCGCCTCGTCCGCTCTGGCGGCTTCTGCACGGGCGGCGAGGTGTGGTGCGAGGGAGGCAGTCGAATGGAGTGGCCGAATGGAGTGCAGACAGCGGGATGAACGGGAGACGCTCGCGAGGAGGGACGCGAGGAGGACGACTCACGGGGCGGGATGGGGAGGTCGGGTATTCACCGCGCTGCACCTTAAGGCGTAGGCGGCTACACTGGCATATGCTTCACAGCTCCCAAGGCACCTGGAACTGCCCGCAAGATGTGGGGCCTTGTGGGTGAGCAAGACCGATACTCGCTGAGGGCGTCCTCGCACAAACAGCAAACAAAGTGTAAACCGAAATGCAGGAAATTTGTGTTTTATAAAGGTTACTCATGTCCATCCACATGCATAAGAAACAGTCAGACCAAAAACATTGAGTATTTTTGTTCAATGTTTTTTTTCCAATGCGACTTTAAACAAAGAACATTCTTTTAAAATGTATTTCTTTCCGTTTTTTTGTATACCGTATCAGGCCCTGAGAAGTCAGGCTTTTTACCCTGATTTCCCTGATTTTCAGGGTGTTTTTCTGTACAGGTACACGCTCCCGCCGAAACATGGCCGGAAGATCTGGGGGCAGGCGGGCCAAAGCTCCTGCCAACCCAATCGCAAACAACTCGGCGGCAACCACGACCGTCAGCAATACGCTTATGGAACAGCTCATCCAGCGCATCACCATATTGGAGTCAGGAATACAGCAATTGAAGAATGGCAACCCGAGTACCTTGCAACAACCCGACCAACCGGCCGCCCCCCAAAAGGAATCGCCCCCAACCACATTCAACCTCGGGTCAAATGCACCTGCTCCAACTTCAACACGGCCAAGTGACGAGGCAATGCTCACTGCTCAGAACAAGTTTCTGAATTTATCGAAGATTAGCAGAAGGACCGTCTTCAACAGACGAGATTTTTGCACGTTGAGTTTTGAGCTAGAATTTGTCCTCCAAAGTGTTGAGATATCCTGCTTCTTTGACAGAAGCTACGCTGGACTCGCAAGCGACACTAACGAAGCTAAAGCGCAATATTATAGCGATTCACTTATGGTTTCCATCATCATCCTCCGAAACATGTCGCCGACCGAACAACTCGGCATCCGCTCTTTCAAAACCTGCTGCGATCAAAGTTGATCGACCCTAGGATCACCTCAGGAAGGTTCGCACACGACTAGGTAGTGGTGGTGGGCCCTTGACCTCAATTCAGAGTGGATGTAAATGTGAAATGAAGAACGAGAATGTTTGAACTATGAATGAAGTGGGTACATATGGGAAACCCTAATTGGGTTGTACCCCTTATGGGATACCCCACTATAGCCTACACAACAGCATAAGCTATATAATGTTCTGACACACCCCCATAGGCAAAGTGGGGGAGAACAAGGGGTCACAAGACCAGTCAAGCAAAGCAGAGCAAGCTCAGGGTGGATCACAAAGTCACCACACTGTCCGAGCACAACGACAAGGCCACAAGGCCAGTTCACATGCAGGAGTACACATATATATATAGAGCTAGACAAGCAAGAGCAGGTATATATATGTAACAGTACAAGCAAGGTCAAGAAGAGAGCAAGTGAGGCAAGACAGGTACAAGACCCAGCTGGGTGCAGAAGCGCTGATGGTCACAAGGCGCAAGTGCCTTGGTGAACACATCAGCAGTGTTGGCCGCAGAGGCCACGTAAGCAAGTCGCAACTGACCACGCTGCTGCAGCTCACGAGCAAGAAAGTAACGGAGAGCAATGTGCTTCGTTCTGTGCTCCAAGCGCTGCTCTCGACACAAGGCCAGCATGGCCTTGTTGTCTACGTACAGCACTGGAGGAGAACGAGGCGGCTCTCCAAGGTCAGTCAGCAGGTAGGTGAGCCAGCGAAGCTCCTGTGCAGCCATGGCCCCGGCGTAGATCTCAGCCTCACAACTGGAGCCGAGAACAGAGGACGAGCGAGTAGCCCGCCACGAGACAGAGCCGGAACCAAGACTGAAGGTGTAACCCTGCGACGACCGCTGCGTAGCCTGGTCGTCAGCCCAAGAAGCGTCCGCGTGCCCAGTGAGGACCACTGGACTCCGCCCTCCAAGCACTAGCCCCATGCCCGACGTACTGCACAAGTAGCGCAACACCCTCTTCGCTGCAGCCATGTGCTCTGGTCGGTGTCTCCCAGGAGCAACATAGCGTGCAAGAATGCTAAGAGGGTATGCAAGGTCAGGTCGTGTGCAGGTCATCAGGTACATGAGGCAGCCAACAAGCTCTGGGTACGGGCCACTCGACTCTACGGACTCATCCGAAGGCAGAGCTGAGAGCGAGTGGCGAGTAGACAGAGGAGTGGCCTGAGGCGAGGAGTACGTGAAGCCGAAGCGCTGAAGGACCTGCTGCACCATGTGTGACTGAGTCAAGGTAATGGTGCGGCGTGCTCTGTCCCGAGTGATCTGCAAGCCAAGGTAGCTGCGCAGTTCACCCAGGTCTGTGCACGTGTGTCTCTTCTGCAGCTCGGACTTCACGTAGGCTAGTCCAGCCGTGTCAGCTGTGGCAAAGACCAAGTCGTCGACGTACACGAGGACGTAGAACGGCGGCAGAGAAGTGTCGGTGCGCAGAAACAACGACGGGTCAGCAGTAGAGGGAGCAAACCCAAGAGCCGCAAGCGTAGTCCTCAGTGTGTCGTGCCACTCACGCGGTGCCTGGCGGAGACCGTAGACTGGCCGTCGGAGGCTCCACTGGGTGCCAGGAGGGAAAGTCCCAGTGAAGCCAGGTGGACGGCGCAGCCAGATCTCCTCGTGCAGGCTACCCTGCAAGAAAGCAGTACTGAAGTCAAGAGAGTGGAGCTCGTAGTCGCGCTGAGCGGCTATGTGCAGCAGCACCCGAAGAGTGGTCATCTTCGGGGTGGGAGAGAAGGTCTGAAAGTAGTCAACTCCCTGCCGCTGACTGAAGCCACGAGCGACGTACCGCGCCTTGAAGACAGGTGGAGAGCCCGGCGGCCGCTTCACCCTGAAGATCCACATGCCACTGACGATGTTCGCCCCAGGAGGGGGAACCGCGTCAACGTAGGTGCCTGTGGACTTCCAGGACGCCATCTCTGCATCCATAGCTGCCTGCCACTGAGAGGAGTAGGGACCCTCTACGGCCTCCGCGTAAGAGCGCGGAGTCGGGATGTCTAGTGCATCCGGGTCTCCCTCAGGGGCAAGTAGTACGGACGCGAGATGAGGTGAAGCAGCAGCCAGACACCGGAACTCCTCCTGCCTGTCCTCAAGGACGTCCGTGCCAAGAGCACACTCACCCCCGACGGACGGAGGACAGACAGACGCAGACTCAGCAACAAGACCGGCAGCGTAGTCTAGACGACAGCGAGCAGCAAAGTCGACAAGCTCAGCAACAAGCGCAGACGCAGCAGTGGACTCAAAAGAGGGGTCAGTGACGACAGTAGCAAGGAGACGTGTGACAGCAGGACTGGCAGCACGAAGAGAGTCCGACTCCGGGTCAGGAAGAGCAGGAAGAGAGGACTCAGGAGGAGAAGGCAAAGGGGCACGCAGAGGAGCAGTGGACGGACGCAGAGACATCCGGTGCGTGCCAGGGACAGGAGGAGGACGCTGACGCGAACCACGACCACTAGTGCGAGCAGCACGGACAGGCGACGCAGGGCGAGACGCAGGTTCACGACGCTCAGCAAGACCTCCAGTAGGACCAGTGTAGGGAGAAGGAGCGGGCAGTGGGGAGGCCGGCTGTAACTGTAACTGTGACAGGACAGGCTGTGGACACTCTAAGGGAGGAGGAGGACCAGTAGAAGGCGGGAGACCAAGAACCTGCTGAAGGAGCGGAACGAAGTACGGCCTAGGCCGCGCGGCGACTCCAGACACAGCAGGGACAGCACCAGTACCCCCAGTGGCAGCACCAGCGCCAGTAGCACCTCCAGCTCCAGGACCTCCAGCAGCACCAGTAGCACCCCCAGCAGGACCGTCAGCAGTAGCCTCAGCTCCAACACCCTCAGCAGCTCCAGCTCCAGCACCTCCGGGACCCGCGGCACCAGCACCCTCAGCAGCCGAAGAACCTCCAGCCCCAGCAGCACTCCTCCAGCGCCTGGCAAACCACTCGCGCAGCTCCTGTGGAGAGAGGGGCTCCCGCCGAGGCGAAGCACCCGGAGAAACGCCAGGTCCCGCACCGCCAGACGGCACAAGGGGAGGTCCAGTGGCCGCAGGCTCAGCAGCTCCAGACGCAGCACCCCCTGGCTCAGCACCCCCAGACTCCGCACCCCCAGGCTCAGCACCCCCAGTCGCAGCACCCCCAGGCTCAGCACTCCCAGACTCCGCACCCCCAGGCTCAGCACCCCCAGTCGCAGTACCCCCAGGCTCAGCACCCCCAGACTCAGCACCCTCAGGCTCAGCACCCGCAGCAGGACCAGAGTCACCAGCAACCTCGACCGGCTCGACTGCGTCTACCTGGGACACACCTGAAGGGGCAGGACCCTGAGGGGGAAGGGGGTCTACCGGGGGGGGACCTGGCACAAGGAA